CGAGACCCTTCTCTACTATAAATAGAAACAAATTAATTGGCCAACTGATATATATATAAAAAAAAAAATTAGCCGGGCATGGTGGCGCATGCCTGTAGTCCCAGCTACTCGGGAGGCTGAGGCAGAAGGATCGCTCGAGCCCAGGAGTTTGAGGTTGCTGTGAGCTAGGCTGACGCCACGGCACTCACTCTAGCCTGGACAACAAAGCGAGACTCTGTCTCAAAAATAAATAAAAAGAACGGCCCATAAGCATAGGATGCAGGTTCTGTTCTCGGCAGGCGAGCCCTAATGCCTGACAGTCTTTGGTCCCATGCACATCGCTAAGCCTTTGTGTGGGGCCTTTCCTCATGGCCACAGGTGACCACTGGCATGAGCGCTCCTAATCCCTGTTCCCTGGTCTTGAATGGAATGCATCCAGATGGATTTGTGAGATTAGATTTTGGAATGCTTTTTTCATAAGTGTTATTGGCGAGAGGAAGGCAGTAGCACTAATGTCTGCCTCAGACCAGAGACATGGGGGCCAGGGGTCCTCGAAGTTGCCTTCAAACTATTGACTGCCACTTATCTAAACCATGAGCTCAGCAGCCTTGGCTAGTTGGAATCAGGTGACTTAGCTTCCTGCCAGTTGGTGTGGCCAAGGCCCACATCCCACAGTCACCACTGTCTGTCTGACAGGCCCCTCCCTCCATGTACGTGTAGTCCCATGCTCAGGTGCTCAGCTGACGATGCTGAGGGTGGTAGTGGTGGTGATGATGGGTTGTAGTTAAGGGATTCTTGCTGTCTGTAGGCCCTATGGTAAGCATTTTACTGACAACGTAGACATATGTGTCACTGTTCCCATCTTACAGAAGAGGAAATTTGGGCTTAGAAGATTGAGCAAATTTGTCCATTCATCCCCATTAGTAATTAGTAGAGCTCAAAATTCAAATTCAGATTTGCCTGTCTCTAAAACCCATGCCTTCATCTTTACATTGTGCTATCTTTTCACATATATGAAGATAAATAAGAATTTAAGTCCTGTGTTTTAAGTACCATGTGTTTTATTTTATTTTATTTTATTTTATTTTATTTTATTTTATTTTATTTTATTTTTTGAGACAGAGTCTCACTTTGGTGCCCAGGCTAGAGTGAGTGCCATGGCATAAGCCTAGCTCACAGCAACCTCAAACTCCTGGGCTCAAGCAATCCTGCTGCCTCAGCTTCCCTAGTAGCTGGGACTACAGGCATGCGCCACCATGCCCGGCTCATTTTTTATATATATATTAGTTGACCAATTAATTTCTTTCTGTTTATAGTAGAGACGGGGTCTTGTTCTTGCTCAGGCTGGTTTCGAATTCCAGACCTTGAGCAATCCGCCTGCCTCGGCCTCCCAGAGTGCTAGGATTACAGGCGTGAGCCACCGTGCCCAACCACCATGTGTATTATTCAGAGGAGCTTTTTTTCTCTTTTTTTAGTTCAGAGAAGGGGAGAGAACATGGTAGCATGAGGGGAAGATTGGCATAGTCAAGTGTTAGAGAAGGTTTGAAGGAAGACATAAGCTTTACCAAAATTAAAAAGTAAAGGCCAGGCATAGTGGCTCATGCCTAATCCCAGCACTTTGGGAGGCAAGAGCTTAGTGAAAACACAAGGTGCAGAACAATGTGGTATGCCACTGTGGAAAAATTACACACAGACTTTTACTTGTATATACTCAGCAGATCTCTGAAAGAAGAGATAAGAATCTGATAACTGTGGTTGCCTCCAGAGAAAAGAACTTAGGTATGTGGAAAGGAAAGGAATTATTTTCTTTGTGAACTCTTCTATACATTGTGAGTTTTGCCCTCAAAAACTAAATGCATCTAATTTTTAACACTTGACTAAAGTAAGTAATACCAGTGCAGAGAGTCTGCTATACTGAATAGTCATTATTCAGGATTGTACAATTATAAAGTCACTTGGGAAAGCAGAAGTCCCCATGATTTAGAGATATTTACTGAGGAATTAATCTTTTGTAAGCCTAGTCTCTATTAGTAAAAGGGTTAGTAATGAGCATTGAATCTTTTTAAGTATAGAATTAATAACAGCGGTGAGAGTTCTTTTTTGTTTGTGTTCTTCACGCAGAATATTGTAAAGAACAGCTGTGAGAATTCTATTCAAAAATAGAATATAAATTTTGAAAACCTAGGTATGAAACTATATTTAACAAAAAGGAGGCAGCAAGGGAGAGATACTATCTTTACATCTTTCAGAGTGGGAGATTGGTAAAGTTTTAAGCTATTTATTCAAGATACAAATGGTTAATTATACTCTTTAAAGATACAAAAGTAATCACTAGAGGAACTAAAAATCTTAAGGTAACCCACCAAAACATGATGGTGGAGAAGTGAGAAGAATGTAAGGTATGCTGACATCTCTGTCTCTCATATACAGAGTCAGCAGACATTGTGTAAAGGTGGCATTATAAGAAACAGTGGTTTAGATATATTATAAAAAGAAGATAGGCCAGGTGAGGTGGCTCCTACCTGTAATCCTAACACTTTGGGAGGCCAAAGCAGGAGGAACACTTGAGCCCAGGAATTAGTGGTTACAATAAGTTATGGTCACTGATCATGCCACCACACTCCAGCCTCGGCGACAGAGCAAGAGACCCTGTCTCTAAAAACAAAAAAAGAAGATGATGATAAAGGACAGCTATTTAAAAACTAAAACCAGACTGTAAACTTACTACTTATTGTAAAGAAAACAGAAAACAAAGAATGCAGAGAACATATTGCTAAAGATAAAATTAAAAAGGCAGCTAAAAACAGAATCCAACATAAACAAGATGACATAATCAAGGTGTTCATAAGTGTAAATGGGATAAATATCCATTAAAAAGAAAAATCTGTCAGATTAAACTAAGAATTAATCCTCATTATATGTGCCTTATATGAGAGAAACATCTAGAGGAGGATGATGAATGAGCGAAGACATAACAGAAAAATCTAAACAAAGGAAAGGAAACAGTATTAATAGTAGCAGGGCAGATTTAAGAAAAAAATTGGGGCCAGGCGTGGTGGCTCATACCTGTAATCCTAGCACTCTGGGAGGCCTAGGCGGGCGGATAGCTCGAGGTCAGGAGTTCGAAACCAGCCTGAGCAAGAGCGAGACCCATCTCTACTATAAATAGAAAGAAGTTAATTGGCCAACTAATATATACAGAAAAAATAAGCTGGGCATGGTGGCACATGCCTGTAGTCCCAGCTAGTCGGGAGGCTGAGGCAGGAGGATTGCTTGAGCCCAGAAGTTTGAGGTTGCTGTGAGCTAGGCTGACGCCACGGCACTCACTCTAGCCTGGGCAGCAAAGCGAGACTGTCTCAAAAAAAAAAAAAAAAAGGAAAATTTTAAAAGGGCCATTTCTAATAGTAAAGAATACTATCTATAACCTGTCATGTGTATTTTTGTACCAAATAATCCAAAGGAAAACATATACCTATATACCTTTAAGTTACTATGTTTCTAAACAACAAATACTTAAGAATTTAGAAAAAGAACAAGCATTTTTTAAAAACTAGTAAATAATAAAAAAGATTGAATCCATAAAACAGTCTTGCTGATCAAGCCTCCACATCTTGCTACTCATGTTAAACAGCACTATAAGTGTTTGAACAGCAAAATCCAGACTGGCAGAAATCTACAGGATGTAATTTTTAAATAAATGAATTATAACGAAATAAGAAGAAACCATAGACTGAAAGAATTATGAGATGTATCAATGAAATGTAATGTGTGGACTTTGGTTCCTGGTTCAAAAGAACTTAACTCTAAGAAAATATTTATGAGACACAGAAATTTGAGCATGGGTTGGAACTTTTTTTTTTGAGACGGGGTCTTGTTCTGTCACCCAGGTCAGAGTGCAGTGGTGAGACCATAGCTCACTGCAGCCTCAAACTTCTGGGCTCAGGTGATCTTCCTGCCTCAGTTTCCTTTGTAACTGGGACTTTAGCTTGAGCCACCACTTATAGCTGGGCTGGATTTTTTTTTTTTTTGTATTAAGGAATTTATTATTAATCATTAATTTCTTAAAGAGTCCTTATATTATGAAGATATATACTAAAATATTTTTGTAAGAAATAATTGGATGTTATCTTGGATTGGCTTCAAAGACATCCAGTGGGGGAGAGCGGAAGGGCTAAGGTTTTTATAGATGAAATACATTCAGCCGAGTGTTGATAATTCCTGAAGCCAGGGAGTTCATTCTGTTTTTCCTTTTTGTATTTGTTTGAAATTTTCCACAGTATTAAGAAGTAAATAGAAATTATTGAATGACAAAAATGCAAATGATCTTATAGCAGAAATGGTATATATGCTATGATTATAACTATATAAAAATAGGAATGAATATGGAAGAGATATTATCATTTTTGGGGGGTGGTAAGGTGTGGCAACTTTCCTAATTTCCAAATTCTCTGTAGTCCTGTGAATTTTACTTCTGTATTTTCACAAAAAGTTGGGAGTGATCATGGCCCACTCCATAGCCTCTTACATAGGTCACCCTTTCTTACCATGTTACTATGTAAAATCTGTTAGCACTTTTCTTGGATTATGAGACTCCTTAGCTGAGTGATCTTTGAGAATATAATGGTTAGCGCCTGACACATGGTTAGTGCTTGGTAAATGTCTGTGGTTGAACCGGGGAAGGTGAATGGCACCCAGTTCCTAATGAGGTTAAATATAGGGGATGTGGAATGGCCCTTTGATCTAGAACTCCGGGTATCAGCCAGAATTCAGAATTAAGAAGATAGAGGAGGTTAGAAAGTGAGGCAGCTACAGGCTTGAAGCCATTCACTCCAAGAGGTGGCAGAGCTGGGAAAGAGTAAGAGAATGATGGCTTTGTGTTCAGTGTTGGGGCCCAGGGGTGTCTATACCAGGAGTCTCCTGGAAGGACTGATTAGGGAAAGGAGTAAAGGCCCATGTTTGTGTGAGCCCTCAACCACAGCCAGGGCTCTCAAGGCTGAACTGTTCTTGGTTTTGTTCCCCAGGCCTGGTGAGTAATGTGGTGTTTACCAGTCACACCATGGAGCAGCGGCACCCTGTCCTTGTTCAGCTGCAGAGCCTCATCAGGGCTGCCAATCCTACTGCAGCCTTCATTCTTGCAGAAAATGGGATTGTCACCAGGTAAACTTCTAGGGACTCCACTCCACAGGACCAGCCACTTTCTCACATACAACATTCTGTCTATGGCTCATGGGGTCTTTCTGCTGTATCTAAGACCTAAATATTTAGAGAAGTCAGTTTTTGAAGTGCTTTTTTTGCTCTGTAAAAACACCAAGACTACCCCATGTGTCAGTGTCCTGTGTTATTTTGAGGCATTTTGTTTTGATGCATTCACATTCTCATCCACTGAATGATGGAAATCAAGACTTTCTTAATGTTCCTTGTATAAGATGTGAGAGAAATGGCATAGAGGACATACATAATTTATTCCGTTATTTCATGGACTTGGGTTCAATTTACAAACTAAAAAAGAGAATTAGTGTCTTCGTGTGTGTGTGTGTGTGTGTGTGTGTGTGTACAAAGAGAAAACACCTGGCAGTGTAGCAATTTTGTTTGCTCATTTAGAATACTAAAGGATTGTAGCCGGGTGCAGTGGCTCGCACGTGTAATCCTAGCACTCTGGGAGGCCGAGGCGGGAGGATTGCTTGAGGTCAGGAGTTCGAAACCAGCCTGAGCAAGAGCGAGACCCCATCTCTATTATAAATAGAAAGAAATTAATTGGCCAACTAATACATATATATAAATAAAATTAAAAAATTTAGCCGGGCATGGTGACGCATGCCTGTAGTCCCAGCTACTTGGGAGGCTGAGGCAGGAGGATTGCTTGAACCCAGGAGTTTGAGGTTGCTGTGAGCTAGGCTGATGCCATGGCACTCACTCTAGCCTGGGCAACAAAGCAAGACTCTGTCCCAAAAATAAAGGATGGTATACCTTTTTATATATTTTTGGCTTTGGAACCATGCAAATGTTTTATGTATTTAAAAATTAAATCAACAAGGAGAGAAGAAACAAAATTAAATACAAACCAAAAAAATGAATCTGCATATCAGAGTAATATAACAACCACACACAAAAAAGTGATTTATTCAAGTAACTTTTCAACATAATCCTCTGTTAGAACCCTGATTCCAAACAACATCACTGATTGAAGAAAGATTGTAAATATAAAAGGGGAAAGGTGAAGAAAAACCCTTCAAATTGATTTAAACTGGAGACTCAATATAAATTCATTACTTTTTTAGAATTGCTCTTTCCTTTGAAAGGGAACAGAATAATAATACCACAGTAGCTGTAAACATCCCTTTGTCTCTAAGTACCAATCCCCAGTACAAGGTATTAGGACTCCTTGGAGAATTAACTTATTACATGTTTAATGCAGAGAAAGTACAAGGTGAGCCTGGTCCTTTTTATGCCGGTAAAGCAAGGGAAGTACCAAAGACCAGTGGAAGTGTGTCAAAAGGATATGGGACTAGCAAGAGAAGTTCCTACTAGTCAAAACTGGGACAATTTGAGCATAAGAAAGAACAATAATAATAATGGATTATGACATATGAAAAAAATGTGACTCTACAGTGATATAAAAAGGGAAGAGGGACAGGACAGCAAAGTGTTACTTTACAGAAGAATGCCAAATAAGTATTGATAGAACTAGAACATCTTCATTTTGTAACTTTCAATCTAATACAATACTTAATTTAGAGAGGGATATCAATGAATGCTAAAAGCTGTGGGTGAAAGATTGTTGAGGAAAAAAGATGTTCACTAGTCTGCTAGTGTATAAATTATCACTCCGCAGACTGCTTAAATATGACCAGTAATGGGACAAAATGATACGGTGTGCCTCCTTGATGTAATGGGAAGGACACATCATCATCTGGGTATTAATCTCCAAAAATATTTAACTTGAATCTAATCATGAGGAAACAATCAGACAAATCCAAGCTGTGGGACACAAGACAGCTGACCTGTATCTTCAATAATATCAACACCATGAGAAACAAACAAAAAGATGGAGAAATTGTTCCAGATTAAGAAATAATAAAGATTGTAATTTTTAAAAAAAATTTTAGGAGCCATGCTAATCTTCTCTGTATCATATCAATTTTAGTATATGTGCTACCAAAGCAAGCACAGAGGTTATAATTTTTTTTTTTTTTAAACTGAGTTTCACTTTGTTGCCCAGGCTAGATTGAGTGCCGTGGCATCAGCCTAGCTCACAGCAACCTCAAACTCCTAGGCTCAAGCAATCCTGCCTCAGCCTCCCGAGTAACTGAGACTACAGGCATGCGCCACCATGCCCAGCTAATTTTTTCTATATGTATTAGTTGGCCAATTAATTTCTTTCTATTTATAGTAGAGATGGGGTCTCGCTCTTGCTCAAGCTGATTTCGAACTCCTGACCTCAAGCAATCTGCTAAATGTAATGAGTGATCCTTGATTGGATTACGGGCCCTCCCCCACAAAAAAGGGAAAGTTTGAAAATGGATGTATATCTGTGCTTCTCCAATGAATCTCTTGGGGATCTTGTTAAAATTAGTTTCTGATTTAGTAGGCCTGGGGTGGGGTCTGGGGTTCTACAGTTCTAAGACATGATTCCAGTGCTGCTTGTCCATAGTATTCCTTGGGTATGTTAACAGTTTTGTGGTTCTGTAAAAGAATGTCCTGGTTCTTAGGAGATGCATACTGAAGTATTTAGGGGTGAAATAATCATGATGCATTCAACTAACTTTCAAATGGTTTGCTAAGAAATAAATGCATGCTTGTGTGCTTGTGCGTGTGTATGGGGGAAGGAGGAAGCACAATATGCAGTAAGATTGACAGTCCTGATTAACCTGAGTCTTTCCTGTATTTTCAAAGGAATGAAGACATTGAGCTGATTCTCTCAGAAAACAGTTTTTCAAGTCCTCAGATGCTGCGATCTCGATATTTAATGTACCCTGGCTGGCAAGTATCATCATTGAAAAGTAGCTAAGATTTCTTTGTAAACCCAGTGATTTATTTATTTACAGAAAAAAAAAAAAGTGAAAATACCACATGTGCTCTACCAGGGTAACACATGGCAGCTGGAATGGCCTGCCATGTCCCAATAACTGCTGGCCCTGCCACAAGCCCAGTACTCCACATCTTGGGCTCCAAATTGGGAGCCTCCGTGGATGTTGAGATTTAGGGCACCGAGCACAATAGTATCCTGTGTTTCCTACCCCCTAGTGAGGGTGAGGTGGCTGGCATGGAACTGAGGAGCCATAACCTTCTCAGGTGAGAGTCACTCCTGAGAACACAGTCAGTCCTCTAGGGTTCCCATCTGGCAGGTAGGTTCCCTGCTAATGTGACCCAGGGAATGTTCTCTGTAGGCTGCCACACAGCCCGTGAACCTCTCCAGAGAGGAGAAGAAAAAGGAGAGAATGTGCCAAGTCCACTGCAGTCATACCAATACCAGCGTGCTTGAGCTCTTCACTGTGTGCACTAGGCATTGTTCTAAGACTGCACTCTGCGCATGGTAGCCACCAACCACATGTGGCTGTTTCATGAACTGTGAATGTAAATTAATAAAAATCAAGTAAAATTTAGAATTCAGTCTGCACAGCTACCTGTGGCTAGCAGCTACCATGTTGGACAGTACAGATCCAGAACATTTCCATCACCCCAGGAAGTTCTGTCAGACAGTGCTGTTCTAAGAGCCTTGCTTGTGTTATTTAACTGTTACACCTAGTCTGTGAGGTGGATTCCATTATTTTTCTTATTTTATAGATAAGGTACCAGAGGTAACAAGGAGTTAATGACTTGCGCAGTTTTCAGGCAGTAAATGAAAGAGCTGCAGTTCAAGCTCAGGTTGAATGGCTCCAGAGCCTGTTCTCTTAACTGCGGGCTGCACTTGTCCCTGTGTAGAATGGACAGTTAGTTTCTGCTCTGTTAAAGGTTTTGGTAAAGGCAATGGTTAAAGCTTGGCCAGAATTAATCTCTCCTGTTTATCTGGATTGTCTTTGTTATCCTTATTCATTTCTCCCAGGCACCTCTCTACATCCTCCACACCACCCCTTACATCACCAATTGGTCATACTATGCCATAAAAAATAAAACAAAACGAAAAAACCCAGAATGTCAGTATGTAAAATTGAAGGTTTTCAGGTATATTCTTAGAAAGATTCTCCGATTTGAGTCACATTATACTTAATTAAACAGTGGGTAAGTGGGTCATTCCTTATACCTGAACAAGGTAATTATACTTTAGCTGAAAAGAAACAAATGGAGCCTCTTTCCCGTGGCTGCAGCTACTGACTCTCTTGCTGCTTGAACCCCTGGGCCTGGTCCTGAAGTTCCCACAGTCACCCCGGGCACCTGTAGCAGCCCCGTTCTCCAGTCCCTACTGACTCATGCTGGGCATGGTACATAAGCCTAGCCCAGGGCACAGACTTATCTGGAGGCAGATGCACACCTGTAATCCTAGCCCTCTGGGAGGCTGAGGTGGGCGGATTGTTCGAGGTTAGGAGTTCGAAACCAGCCTGAGCAAGAGCCAGACCCCGTCTCTACTATAAATAGAAAGAAATTAATTGGCCAACTAATATATATAGAAAAAATTAGCCGAGCATGGTGGCGCATGCTTATAGGCCCAGCTACTTGGGAGGCTGAGGCAGTAGGATTGCTTGAGTCCAGGAATTTGAGGTTGCTGTGAGCTAGGCTGATGCCACAGCACTCACTCTAGCCTAGGCAGCAAAGTGAGACTCTGTCTCAAAAAAAAAAAGAAGACTGTGAATCTAGAGTCTGAAACCTTTCCCTTATCAGGAAGATCAGTCCTTATAGAGAGTCAGAGATGGAGGGACCTCAAAATCATCCTTCAGGCCCTCTCTCCTAAGTCCATTTCTAGAAACTGGGTAATTTCATCTTTTAACAAGATGGTAGTCATCAGTCTCCCACTCATGCGTATACATTACTCCCTTCCTGAGTAGGTTAGGACCACCCCCTCAGAGTGAATGGGCTGTATATAGATCCACTATGCGCTCAGCTGTGTGCCATGCATGCATCTTCTGCTGTTTCCCTCTCACAGCACTCTGTTCTCATGGACCCCATTCCCACCTTTTTGGGTAGAACAATTTGTTATCTAGTCTGGGCAAAAACTTTGCTCTCTTCCCTTAGCCCCTGAAGATTCCCTTAAGGATTCAGACACCACAGAAGCCAGAGAAGCCCGAAGTCTCCAAATGACTTGTTTGGGTAGGGAAGGGACATGGCAATCTTGCAAAAATGTCATGCCACCACCTTACTTTAAAGAAATCACAAAGAGGTGGGGCGTGGTAGCTCACACCTATAATTCCAGCACTTTGGGAGGCCCAGGTGGGAGAATCGCTTGAGGGCAGCCTGAGAAACAGTGAGATCTTGTCTCTGCAAAAAATAAAAACACCAGCTCTATATGGTGGCACATGCTTATAGTCCCAGCTACTCAGGAGGCTGAGGTGGGAGCTTGCGCCCAGGAGTTCAAGGTTGTAGTGAACTATTATCACACCACTGCACTCCAGCCTGGGTTACAGAGCAACACCCTGTCTCTTAAAAATGAAATAACTTTTTAAAAAGAACAAGTATAGATAGCAATCATGGAAACAGAATTCAATGTCAGTAATATTCAGAGACATAAAATGGTACCTTGTTTTTATGACAGCTACTAAATTCAACCAAAAATATCTATCTATAATATTCATTGCTGGGAAAATTGTTATGAAACTGGTATACTCATGTGCTGCTGTGGGAGGTGTAAATTATTACCCATGAAATGGTTATACCCTTTCCTAGAGTGATTCCAATTATGGGATTCATCTCAAAAAAAATAATTCAGTCTGGGCGGGGTGGCTCATGCCTGTAATCCTAGCACTCTGGGAGGCCAAGGCAGGAGGATTGCTTAAGCTCGGGTTCAGCACCAGCCTGAGCAAGAGTGAGACCCCATCTCTACTAAAAATAGAAAGAAATTAGCCAAACAACTAAAAATAGAAAAAAAAAAATTAGCTGGACACAGTGGCACGTGCCTATAGTCCCAGCTACCTGGGAGGCTGAGGCAGGATTGCTTGAGCCCAGGAGTTGGAGGTTGCTGTGAGCTAGGCTGATTCCATGGCACTCTCGGCACTCTCGCCTGGGCAAAAGAGTGAGACTCTTTGTCTCAAATAAATAGATAAAAACAATTCAAGGCTGGGCGTGGTGGCTCACAGCTGTAATCCTAGCACTCTGGGAGGCTGAGGCAGGCAGATCGCTGGAGGTCTGGAGTTCAAAACCAGCCTGAGTGAGACCTCATCTCTACAAAAAAAAATAGAAAGAAATTAATTGACCAACTAAAATATATGTATACAAAAAATTAGCCGGGCATGGTGGCGCATGACTATAGTCCCAGCTACTTGGGAGGCTGAGGCAGCAGGATTGCTTGAGCCCAGGAGTTTGAGGTTAGTATGAGCTAGGCTGATGCCACGGCACTCACTCTAGCCTGGGCAACAGAGTGAGACTCTGTCAATTAAAAAAAAAAAAAAAATTCAAAAGAAGGAATGACCATTCCATAACTGTGGAAGCTGGGTTATGGGTACTTGGGAGTTCATTATACTACCCTTCTACCTTTGCATGTGTTTGAAAATTTCCATAATAGAAAGTTAAGTTTTAAGGAAAGTTAAGTATATAAACATCTTCTAAATGAATCTGAGGCCAACAGTTTGCTGAACTGAAAACTGAAAAAATAGAGCAGAGATGCCTCAAACCTTTAACAGTCCCTTCTATTGAGATACATCCAGATAGTGGGACATAGTTGGAGCCCCAAGGGAGTGTGAGGGGATCCTGAGTAAGAGCCCCCACTGTCCCAGGAATGACCTCCAACCTCAGATGGCCACTGACAGGCTTCAGAGGTTTATGTGGTCTTTGACTTCAAGGAACTGCTAGTCTAAGGAGGTAAAACCTCCATCCTGACAAAGCCCCTGCTCTAAATAAATAGTCATACTTCCCAATTTTAAGATGTATACACGAGTGTTTTCTATGCAATTATGGCATGTAAGCAAGGGGGGATTTAATTATTTTAGGATAAATGACATGTAAGTTCATCCCAAAGTAGTATATAATAACACTCAAAGCCAAAATTATTTGTACTTACAATTTTTTAAACCTTTTAAGGTATGAAGGTAAATTTGATTCTGGATCAGTGTTTCCACTAATGGTTCAGATCTGCGTATGGTTTGGCCGTCCATTGGAAAAGACTCGCTTTGTGGCCAGGTGTAAAGGTGAGCCTTGGCTGGGACATGTCCCAGACACTGGTAAAAGAGTGCCCCAGAGCTGTGCCTGCTTCCTGTTACCATGTTAGTATTCCATGTGCTCTTTTCCTTACCATTTGGGACCAAAAGCAAGCAGAGGGATTTGAGGAATCACTAGTCTCCTACCTCTGATTGTGGGTAGCCACAAAATTTGATCTCCACACCATTGAAAGAGTTTTTCCACCCCTGGGAACAGTGGCAGAGCCACTGGGGAGCAACAGGGGGGGAGGGGTGGAACCTGCGAATCCTGGACCCTGCTGGAAAGGACCCTTTCCTAGTCTCTAAACCTCCCAGCTATGCTACCCTAACTTGGCTTCTGCCCAGGTGAGTGACAGCCCTGTTCTCTTCCTCCATCAGCAATTCAGTCCTCCATCAAGCCAAGTCCCTTCTCTGGAAACATCTACCACATCCTGGGCAAAGTCAAGTTTTCAGGTAAGTAGGAGGTTGGATTTGGAGGTCCTACACCATGAAGTGCTTGCATCTCATGATGTGAGTTCATGGCCTCTGCTGGCGCTCTGTAGACCACCTATGCCTCTCAAACGCTCTCTCAAAATCCCTCCCGGCTGGCCGGGCGCCGTGGCTCACGCCTGTAATCCTAGCACTCTGGGAGGCTGAGTCGGGTGGATTGCTCAAGGTCAGGAGTTCGAAACCAGCCTGAGCAAGAGCGAGACCCCATCTCTACTATAAATAGAAAGAAATTAATTGGCCAACTAATACATATAGAAAAAATCAGCTAGGCATGGTGGTGCATGCCTGTAGTCCCAACTACTTGGGAGGCTGAGGCAGGAGAATTGCTTGAGCCCAGGAGTTCGAGGTTGCTGTGAGCTAGGCTGACACCACGGCACTCACTCTAGCCAGGGCAACAAAGCGAGTTGTTTTTTTTTTCTGTCTCAAAAAAAAAAAAAAAACCCTCCCTCTGGCCTTACACCAGGCTTATCCATCACCCCGTTTTTTTTTTTTTTTTTTTTTTTTTTTTTTTTCTAGGAAGAAATCAGCGAAAAAGGGGCCCACTTTCTTCAGGTTCTTCTGCTTCATGGTGAAGGATCTGCCCTCCTCCGCTGAATGACCTGCTCAGGGGCCCTCCTCACACTTCCAAAGAATCACACCCCACCCCTCCAGTTGCTGCCCCTGTGCTGAGCTCTCCAGATCCATTTCTGACCAAAGTCTTTAAGCCTTCGCTTGCCTTCTCCCTTCTGTCCAGTAGGCCTGTCTGTCATCCCGAGACTCTGGAGCCCTTGCATCCTGGTAGTCTCTGCTGGGCTGGGGGTTAGGGAAGGCCTCAGAACAAGTAAGGGTCGGCCAACTCAACATTGAGGAAGGGTAGGATATTCCAGGGAAAAGAAACAGCATTTGGTATACTCCAGAGGCAGAAAAGGCACATTTCAGGAACCAAAAATGGTTTACTATGGCCAGAGCCTGGGGTAGGGAGAGGGGTAGTGTGTCTCTTAAGGCATCTTCAGTTAGAATAACAGAAAACCCCAACTCAGCTAGCAAGTGTTAGCTGTATAACAAGTGAAGAGGTTGGCAGCAAAGCAAGGCCACTGAGGGCCCAGGTAATGTGTCTTTGTATTCTTCCTTCCACTGTTGTGTGTCAGCTTGTTCTGAGGTTCCTGCCCCTCATGGGTGCCAGGTGGTGCTATAGGTCTGCTTGTCGAACCAGACACTGCATCCAGCCAATGAGAAGCTGGCTCTTCCAGTGGGTGTCTTTGTCAGTGTAGTCACCTTTTCCCAAAGCTCCTACCCCCATTCTCTCAGACACTTCTCTCATTGGCCAGGATTGAGTTGCTTTGCCTTTCTGGACCCACCACCCATAGGTGGCTTGGTATTGGAGGAGGAGGGGGATGCTGGGTAGGCAGCCATCAGTGTTTGCTGTGGGGAGCCACTGGGGTTTAGGCATGGGGCCATCATGGTTCAGATGGGAGGATTAGATGGCGTAACCTGTGTAAAAGAATCTTTCAAGGTCCTTAATGTTGTCAATTCTAAAACTTTGGCGCTTCACCCAGCCTGATGCCCTCAGGCTCCAGCAGCCAACCCCTGCCTGCTTCACAGGTCTTGATGCCTTCACTCTCCTCACCGTCACCTCCTTTTCTTCTTTATTTAGACCTGCTGTTGACCTCTTTCTTGTTCAGGGTTAACCTTTGTTCTGGATCCCTTTTTTTTTTCTTTTGAGACAGTGTCTTGCTCTGTTGCCCGTGCTAGAGTGCCATGGCGTCAGCCTAGCTCACAGCAACCTCAAACTCCTGGGCTCAAGCGATCCGCCTGCCTTAGCCTCCTGATTAGCTGAGATTACAGGTGTGAGCCACTACGCCCAGCTAATGTTTTATTTCATTTTTAGTTGACTGGCTATTTTTTTCTATTTTTAATAGAGACGGGGTCTCACTCTTGCTCAGGCTGGTCTCCAATTCCTGAGCTCAAGCAGTCCTCCTGCCTTGGCCTCCCAGAGTGTTAGGATTACAAGCGTGAGCCACTGCGCCCGGCCTGGATCCCTTTCTTATCCTGCCTTTGAGGGGCCCTTGCTACCTCCTTGTGTCTCCAGTCACTCCTAGCCTCCAGCTCCTCAGTATACGTCCTGGACACACCTCTCCTGTCCATCTACAGGACCTTCCTGCAGCTCTGTTGTAATGTTGACCATCCCCTCTCAGGCCTCTGCTGAGAACCCCCCACACCTCTACCAAGGGGGCTTTATTTGCTTCTTCTCAACCACATCTTCCACAGTGGCAACCTCAGCTACACCAGTGCCTACACCAGTGTGGATATCTCCCATTCCGGGTCTCACAGTCTTTCACATGCCACTGGTGCAGAGTCAAACTCCTCCTCTTCCCTCCCTACAACCTTTTCTTCATCTTTTGTTCCCTTCCAGGTTGATAGTGTCCACCTGATCACCCAGATCAGCCAAGCTAGAAACTTCTTTTGCTCCTCCCTCTTACTCCATCCTTTCTCAGTTGCCACCAGTCATGTCAGTTCTCCCTCCTGTGTTTTCTCATGAGTCTGTCCCTGCCATCTGTGTTGTTACAGTTTTGGCGAAGCCTTATCCTTTTGTGGCAGGGTCTCAGGGACTAACGTGTGCTCCTCTTACAGATTCTGAGAGAACCATGGAGGTCTGCCACAATACTCTGGCCAACTCACTCAGCATCATGCCGGTTTTGGAGGGACCCACGCCACCACCCGACTCCAGAAGCACACCTCAAGACAGCAGTGGGCAGCAGGAGTGCTACCTTGTGTTCGTTGGCTGCTCCCTGAAAGAGGACAGCGTCAAGGACTGGCTGCGGCAGTCAGCTAAGCAGGTGGTTTCCAAAGCCCAAACAGACTTGCCACGGATGTGACCCACATACTTCACAGGCGCTACTGGCCCTGAGAAGCCCCTCCACTGATACCACCCCACCAGTCTGCCCCGTACAGGCTCAGCCAGCACTGTCAGGGACACTTTGGGAGTGGGAGGAATCACTCAGGGCAACCTCTAGGCAGGAGTGCTGTTGTCTGCTCTGTGAGCCCAGCTTCTCTGCAAGCTTTGGGTGCTAAGGCTCCTAGCACAGCCTTAGGAGTTTATCTCATCCTGGAACTCTGGGAATAGAGCTCGCTGGGGCTTGGGTCTTTTGCAAATGCTCAGTTGGGACCTGTCTTTATACTGAGGCATGGGCTGCCTCATCTGTATAAGCTCCTAAATGGTGTTTGACTAGGGGACCTTGGGCTGTCCTTTTGCATGTCTGTTATTGGTGGGGCCTAGGGATAAGACTCTGCAGAGAGGCAGGACCGTGCCCATTTGCAGAAACATTGGGCACTCCACAGCTACTTCTTCCCTGCTAGCTCCCAGGGCTCTGCCATGGGAAAGTGGTCTTCCCGAAGGGCGAACAGGCAGAATATTATGTCTAGGCCATGGGAGTTCATATACTTTCCCCTCTGCTGGGATTGTGGTCATGTCACCAGAGCCCTGAGCCCTCACCTACCCATGAATTCCATCAGCTCTTTTGGGACCTGACCCCTCCTTACATCTCTGCACAGAAGCCTCAGAGGAAAGCCCTGAAGACCAGGGGGATGCTGACCCAGCAGGAGATCAGGAACATCCATGTGAGTGCCTTGCCCTGGGCTCTCCCCTCAGTGGCCCAAGGCTGTCCTAAGCTTGTGTAGCTCTGTCTTTGGATTTCCTAAGTAAGGGAGCTATTGGCAGGGCGTGCTGAAAGTCTTGCATCTCTCAGGCCACAGAGGGAAGCTAGGTACAGAATTCTGACCTCGCAGTCTCAGTTAGCAGGGGGCAGGTGGCCTCTGGTGTGAACCTGGATGAGATCAAGCAGAACCAGTACCTGTGGGAGTAGCAGGTGATGGGAGATCCTGCCTTGTGCATTGTCACCCTGCTCCAGCAGCTGCAGAAGATCTCTGTCCAAGATTAACCAACTAGGGCTCAGGAAAAAACTGTCCAGATCCAGAAGCTGTTCATGGGAAGGTTGTAGAATCCTAACGCCAGTTAGAGGCCCCTTGTTGAGCCCTCTCAGCCTCCAGGCTGACCCCCAGCCTCTGCACAAATCACCATGTCTACTGGGGCCTCTTCCTGACGGGTTTGGGATCAAAAGGCTAAAAGAGACACAGAGTCCAGGTCCTAGGATGGGCTGTGTCACCAGCCCACTAATGAGCAGGTGGAGTGGGAGAGTATTCTGCGTTGGACTTGAGGCAGCCCCCTTCCTAAACAGCTCCTATAGGCCTGTACAGCCCTGGGTGCTCCTGGGGAGGACAGTGTAGGCACCTCAGAAGGCAGTCCTGGTAATGCATGTTCCCTGCAAGCAGACCTTGAATAAGGATTTGAGTACAGATAGTTTATTTTAGAAGTGACTCTAGGAGATGTTAAGGTAGGGAGGTGGGAAGGTGGGAAAGTGAAGGGACAGCCAGTACAGGGCGTGTTATCAAACCAGTTCCTCTGTGAGCAACAGGGGCATATTCCCACTAGGAACTCCCAGCTTGAGGGTTGCTGAGGGTGTTAATTCCCTGGCTCATCTGCCTAGCAGAGCAGGCAATCTTGCTAGGGTAATGGACTTGTTTATGTTTTTAATGAGTGAGTGAATGATAGAAAGTGGTGAGATAATTCTTACAGGACTCTTTCTTCTTACAGGTGAAACGCCACCTGGACCCCCTACCAGCAGGCTACTTTTATAATGGCACCCAATTTGTTAACTTCTTTGGTGACAAGACTGATTTTCACCCACGTATCCTTGGAACAACTTGGTCCTGGTTCAGAATCTGGGGCAGCGGGTCTAGGACTGTCTGCTACAGCCGCTGCAGCCGGGCCCTAAAGCGGGCTGAGCTCTGCATTTCCACAGGCGGGGGCTGGGAACACACAGAAGCAAACCACAGGGGCACACTTTTCATTTGCTCTTTTAAAGTCCTTAAAATTAGATTTCTCCATTATTTAGTGTTACTCTGTGGGTTGGAGTTTAAATGCAGCCGTGGTAACACCCTGAGCTCTGTGGTCATCAGGGTCATGATTTACAAGTTGGGGCAGCCACAGTTAATCTGTGGAAAGATGGACAGGGCAAAATGAGAGCCTTGTGGTGCTGCTATGTGCTAATGAAAGCAGAAGGATTCGGTTCTAGGACTTCATTAAAGGCCATATGCCAATCACAATCTTAGTAGCTGTGATGCTGCCAGTATATACCAAGAGCCCATCAGGTACCCTCTGTGCGGGCCAGGCACACACTACCTGGGTATCACCCACCTCACCTGCCTGCAGGTCCTCTGGGCTCAGGCAGGCTCCATTGTCTTCCAGGCTCAGAGCTCTGTTCCTTAATGAAACATCAGTCATGGACCAATTCATGAATGACTATGTGGAAGAAGCCAACCGAGAAATCGAGAGGTACAACCGTGAGCTGGAGCAGCAGGAGTATCATGACCTCTTTGAGCAGAAGCCCTAGAAGAAGCCCGGGGCCATACATCCTGCACAGTGTCCACCCTGGAGATGGACGAATGGGTGGCCCCTCCCTGAAGGGGCTGTCTTTGTTCTCCTTGGCCTATGTGTGCTGGCTTGAATGCATGTTATCTTTATTCTCTATACAGCGCTGAAGAGCATCACCTACACCACTGATTTGGGGGATGGGGTGGGGGGTCCTCAAGGATGGGCAGACTGGGACTGCCTGTGTGTGCAGCTGGCAGTCATCCAGGAGCTCTGGGTCTCTGATAACAGTATCTCCTCTGGGCTGTTGAGACACTGTGTGGGGATAAGGAGAAGCATTTGGATTGCACAGTGGAGCTGCTGGGACTTAGAAGGCACCCTGGCTGCCCAAACTGTGGCCATGCCTGGTGGGCAGGCCACAACAGGCCTCAGGTGTCAGATGCTGCCCCAAGAGAGCCATCATCTGCAGTGGAGTGCCTGCCTCCCCTGCTTAGGCCCCTTCCATTGAAGGAGCTGGCCCTACTAGCCCCCAGCCCAGGCCTGGGGAGAGCAGCCCAAGCCCAGTCCACAGAGCCAGCAGCTTAGGCTGAGAACGACTGCTTATTTGAAATGAAGGGATTCCCCGTACAGACTAAACTGAAGGAAAGGCACGTTTTCCAGAAGCGTGTGGCTCTCAAGTTGACATCAGCATTCCGTCTTGTGCTTGGTTCTTGATCTCTCCTATGGCTTCACTAGGGTTTCCCTAATTCAGGGTCAAGAGCGAGCCTGCTGCCCAAGCTCCCCTGATAAAGCTTGACCTAACTGTAAAGGGGAGCGTCCTGCAGCTGTTAGTCTCAGGCCTGGGGTCTGATTACTTGTCAGGCGTCTGTCTCCAGCACCCAGCCCTCCCACCAGCCTTGCCAGGGAAGGCCTGCTTTTTAGCCACAAACTTCAGGAAACTCAAACACCCCCCCCCCCCCCCGTGCATTGTTTGGCTCCTGAGGACCAGGAATTTCAACGAATTCCAATACCCAAGTTAGAATTCCTTCAAGTGGCATCGTAAATCAGAGGAGAATTACAAGTGTGTCCGTGCCTGACATTCATAATTACTGTGGGGATAGGTTGGGCAGGGGTGTCACAGGCACTGATATTTAGGTGATGTCTGTCAGGACTTCAGCGCCTTGGCTGCCTAGATTGTAAATGTTTTCTGAATTTCACATATTTTTTTGCATGCCTTAGGAAGAAGCACATAGGTGAAACCAGCAAAGTTTCTAGTAATGTAGAGGGGTTTTTGAGAAAGCCCCCTGATGCAGAGGGGAGAGAGGATGGAACACATGGGGTCTGTGTACCTGGTCACACAGAGGCCTGCATGCAAGTAGCAAAGCAATTGTCAAGGGTTTGTCAATAAAATGTACTAGAAAAAAATTTGTATTTAAAGCCAAACGAACAAAATTCCAAATACCATTGAATAAGAAATCTTGCATCAAGAAAGGCTTCTGAAAATTCCCATGTGCTCCAGTCTCTGCTCCAAAGCCATTGGTGACAAAGGCCCCACTGTGGAGTCCAAGTCTGGGAGCCCCTGACTTCTGGCTGGCCAGAGGCCAGGGTCTATGAAGGGCCTGCCTCTGCTTCAGAATCAATAACATAGATCTTAAGTGCAATTGATTAATAAGCAATGACTTACTGTAGCTTCCTTTAGCTCTACCGAGCTCTTTTTAAAAACTCAAACTTGAGCAGCCTTAGAAAAGGGAGGGGGGTGGGGGTGTGAGAACCATAGGCCATTTTTCCTCCAGGTGGGTTTCTGTGAGGTTTTAAAAGAAAGCTCTGGATCTAGGAGCTTGAGCCATTTCTGGCTGCCCTGGCCTGGCAGTCTGGCTGCTGCACAGAAGAGTTTTTAAAGAGGGGTCGGAGCCTGCCCATATTGTGGGCCTTCCCACCACGTGGGGCTGTACTGCGTGGTGGTCCTGGTTTCTGACCATTTTCCATAGAAATGCTCTCTCACCAACCTGCCCCACTGTCCCAATTCCTTTCCTCTTGGAGGAAAAAACTGTGATTACCTCAACTTGAGTATGAAACTGTGATTGAAAAAAGTCAAAACATTAAGAAGTATCAAAGCCAAAAAGGCAAAACTGGCTGAGGCCTCTGTAGATGCTCCTCAGCCTGCTCGGGAGTGTGAAGGGGCACACTGGCGAAAGGGCATTCCTCGGAGCGGCCGCTCTGCCTCGGTGCAGATGCACACTGCGCACTGTGTGAGCTCTTTGAGGACTGAGGCCCGGAGGTCGCTTCCAGAACCTGCCGGGCCTCCGGGTTCTGGCTGTGAAGTTCACATCCACTTGATTCCTGTGTGGGGAGCCAGGTCTTAGACTGTCTCCACAGGAAGGGCCATGACACTGTGTTTTAGCTTTTGACCTCAGAAGTGGATAGTGGGGACCCAGCAGAGACATCCAGGTGGGTTCCTAGGAAAGGCGCAGTCCTCCAGGGGCTTACATGCTTTTTACCAACTTTCCTGTTAGCAGCTTCGGTTTTATATCACCCAGAGTGTGTGTGATAATGTTGAAGTCGCTGAAGTTATAGGTTATTTTATGTTTTGACATGGGATTTTTCTTTTTGTCATTGGAAAGAGGAGGCAGAAATTGGAGAAAACAGGATTACCTTTGGAAGGGGCCACTGGTTAGGAGCCAGGCTGGCCCCTCTGAGCCCTGGGGGCTCTCTGACCTGAGGCCTGGATGCTGGGCCCTTCAGGTTGCAAGAAAAAGTTCCCTCCTAAATTCTAATAGGATTTTGGAGAATTTTTGCACAGTAATAAGCTCTGGGTTGATCTTTGGGCTTCTCAAAAGGGAAATGTTCAACTCAAAGATTGTAAACTATTAAGTATTCCAGCCGTGTTGCTGACTTAGTTGGGTAGTTGTACCTCAAAAAGTAGGTGAGAAATGGTTTCTTCATTGTCCCAGGGTGTTAAATACTAATGACATAAGAGCTCACTTACGTGCCAAAATTCACTTTTATACTAGTTTTTCAGTGCTTTAATATTTGTAACTTAAATTTTAAAACTCATTTACAAACACTACTGTAACTTCAGTGAAACTGAATTGTGTGATTGAAGCTTTTTGCTTATTATAGTATTTATTACACTACTTAATTCAGTAAATATATAAAAGTAGCCTTCAATTTATTTTTATATTATTTTACATGTTTTTACCTGCAGTTGTGTATGTGAATTTACCTTGGTAATTAAGATGTTAATGCTAAGGACCAATAAACTATCACTGAACAAGCAAGACCTCCAGTCATTGGCCGTCCCGCTGACTCAGTCTCCAGGTGCCCCGGGGCGGGTGTGAGAAAGCCCGCCCCCGGACTGTGGCCTAGCCTCAGCCTCCGCCCCTTGCGTCCTTTGCTGAGGCTTTTGGGGGAAGAGTCTTTGAGGCTCACACTCCTCTCCCTAGATCGGCGAGCGGCCGGTGGAGACTAAAATTCAGACGAAGAAACCACCCTGGCTTGCGGGGTGGGCACTTGGGGAGTCCTAGAATTCGGGGCAGGACTCAGGGAGCCGGGTGCGGGCACGGGCTTCTCCCGGGGCGTCCCCTCCCCTCTCGGGTCTCTCGCCCTCGTCCTTGACCGCGGTGCTCCGCTGCAGGTTCTCGAGCCCCAGCGCTCCCCGGCCGGGCTGCAGAGGGAACCACGGCTCGTTTCAGCGCGGTAAAATCTCCACGAGGTGGCCCTTGGGTCACATTTTATAAGTGGGCGACCGAGGCGCGGAAGGGTCCAGTAACTGGAGCAGGTGGCAAAGCCGCTGCTCAAGCCCGCGTTAAATCCGAGAGAGCCCTCACGGCGCTCAGACTTGGAACCGCAAGTTCTAAGGGGTAGGTTTGCCGAAGCCCTCGGGATTGGAGGAGCGAACACAAATGCGCCAACAGTCCCGTGCGGGCGCGGGTCCGCTCGCCAGCGGTTCCTGCCGCAGTTGGCGCGGCGTCCCTGCAGGCTGCTCCCGGGGCTCCCGCTGGCTGACCGCCACCGCTCGCCCCCAGATGGGTGGGGAGGAGGGTCCATCCGGGAAGGGCACCCGCCGCCCGCAGCCGGTCCGTAAAGACTCTGCTTCCTGTCACACCCAAGACGCAGGGTCGGGACAAGGGGCAGTGCCCCACTGGGCAGATTTGAAAGCAGACCCAAGGGGGGTAGGGTGCCACCTCCGAAGGCAGCCTCGGGTGACTGGGGTGGTGGTCTTGGGTGTGGAAGTTCCAAGCGATCAATTAGTCACAATCCAAATGCAAAACTGGACCCGCAGGGCTCGGAGTTGGCAGCTGCGTCACCAGCGCACTGCTCTTTCCAGAGCCTGCTGCCTCCGGACCTGCAAGCCCAGGTTTGAACCACGATGGAGCTCCTGTCTTGCATTTCCAGAAGCCTCCAGGGTTGGGGATTAACCCCTAAAGAACTGCCAAGGGCAGTGGGAAGACAGTAAGTGGTGAAGGGCTCCAGGTCTGGGTGAGCTTCGAGGGCCAGGGGGACTTAGAGGCCAGGAAACCTGGAGCTGGGAAAGGAGTCCTGTCTCCCACCTGGAGCTGCTTGATGGAGCAGGAGCCGCAGGATCTGGGGATCTGCTGGACTAGACATGTGGAAAGTGGGATTTAGAGCAGAGGATCGCTGGGAGGCCAAGGCGGGTGGATCGCTGGAGGTCAGGAGTTTGAAACCAGCCTAAGCAAGAGTGAGACCCCGTATCTACTATAAACAGAAAGAAATTAATTGGCCAACTAATATGTATAGAAAAAATTAGCTGAGCATGGTGGTGCATGCCTGTAGTCCCAGCTACTCAGGAGGCTGAGGCGGGAAGATTGCTTGAGCCCAGGAGTTTGAGGTTGCTGTGAGCTAGGCTGACGCCATGGCACTCACTCTAACCTGGGCAGCAAAATGAGACTCTGTCTCAAAAAAAATAAAAAAATAAAAATACCTAGAGCAGGTGGAGCTGCAGGAAATCACAGGGCTCTCCGAGGACTGTAGAGAAATATTGATGTAATAATTTATTTTGTGTTTGTTTTGAGTTGTTTGTTGTTTGTTTTGTTGAGACACAGTCTTGCTCTGTTGCCTGGGCTACAGTGCAGTGGTATCATCCTAGCTCACTGTAGCCTCAAACTATGGGCCTCAAAGATCCTCCCACCTCCCAAAGTGCTGGGATTACAGGCATGAGCCATCACGCCCGGCCTGGTGTATTAATTTCTTTTCTTTTCTTTTCTTTTCTTTTCTTTTCTTTTCTTTTCTTTTCTTTTCTTTTCTTTTCTTTTCTTCTTTTTTTTTTCAGACAGAGTCTATTGCCCTGGGTAGAGTGCAGTGGCGTCAGCCTAGCTCACAGCAACCTCAAACTCCTGGGCTCAAGCAATCCTCCTGCCTCAGCCTCCCGAGTAGCTGGGACTACAGGCATGCGCCACCATGCCCAGCTAATTTTTTCTATATATATTAGTTGGCCCATTAATTTATTTCTATTTATAGTAGAGATGGGGTCTCACTCTTGCTCAGGCTGGTTTCGAACTCCTGACCTTGAGTAATCCGCCCGCCTCGGCCTCCCAGAATGCTAGGATTACAGGCGTGAGCCACCGCGCCCGGCCCTGGTGTATTAATTTCTATCATACAATCGAAAGAGTTATGCCCAAAGAAAACATGACCAAATGACCCACTTCCAGCCCATGACAGAAAGGGATCAGCTTGGTTTCTGTAGGAGGAGTCCAGAGTGGTCCAGCTATAAGCTCAGCTGGGCCCAGCAAGTGCTCATGATAAGGAAAACCTCCATCTATTACTTGGTACATCAGCCACCTGAGATCCCCACCCCTCATGGAAGACCTGCATCAGCACTAACCTATTACCTGGCCCATCAACTAATCTATTACCTGGTGTATCAGCATAACACTAAACCTGTTACCTGGCACAGTAACTAATCATTACCTGGCTTATCAACATAATACTAACCTATTACCTAACACATCAACTAACCTATTACCTGAGCCATTTGAGACCCCACCGCTCAGACCACGCAAACTTAATAAAAGTGGGGAAAATCGGGCAGATGGGGCTCAGAATTTGGTGACGAGATCCCTCTGAGCCTGCTGGCAAATAAACTTTGATTCTCTGACTCTCTGTGTATGTCTCAGTTTGTCCTCGGGACCACCTGCTGTAATACTTGTTGTATACTCAGATGTCATCAGAACCCTCTCCTTGGTGGCCTCACTCTCCCCAGGCAATGGAGAGTGGCTTGGCTTCCTTTATGACAGGAGCAGCACCAACACCCCAAGGCAAAGCCCTCCCCCCTCTCTAGAGGTACCCTCAAGATTGGGATCACATTCCCATCCCTGAACCAGCCACAGTGGCCTAGCCAAGGGTCTCTGTGCACTTCCATGGGCCCCCCAAAACCAGGTCCATTTGCGTGGTGGGCCCCCAAAGAAGGGCTTGCTCCCGTACACCAGCATTGCATATCCCCCTGCAGTTTCTGAGCTCTTCTGTTAAATCAGACACCTACTTGACTTTTTTAAATGCTGCTTTCTGCATGTGTTTTCTAGTATAAGTGATAGGAAGCGCTAAGTCACTGAGTATGGTGGCAGTGATGGCTGTGGTGATTTTTAACCAAGGGATGAAAGAGTTTAAATTGAAGGCATTCTATCCACTAAGATAACCCCAGCTCCCACTGCAGATTGAGAAAAGACCACCATTCTTTGATTTTGTGGTGCCTCAGAGCACCCAGAGACATCAGTGTTGCATGGGATCCGGCTTGAGAATCTTTTCTTAAATAAAAGGAAGGCCATGTGGACTGTATTGTGGGTGCTGGGCTGTTGTTCCATGTGGGTGGAGGTGAAAAGTGGACCAACTAGAGAGATATTCCCAAGGAACAACTGACAAGACAAAATGACTAATTAGACAAGAGCAAAGGGGGTGACCTCGAGGTAAAATCGGAAAAAGCCAGAGTGGAAAAAAACCCAACGTTTTGAAACAATTCCAAAGACTTTTTTTTGTTTCATTCTCTAAAAATTCAAAGAAAAATAAATTTGTTCATCCACCAAATCATTCCTGTTTTTCCCATGCATTGCTTAATTGACCAGCTAAAATTATTTAGCTTAAAAAATTGCATCAGCTTCAATAAATTGTATGTCAAACTAATAAATGTCTATAAATCTGTCAAAAAAAAATACTAACCAAATAAAGTGTGAATATATTTCCATTTTAGCCTACAACTGCCACTACTTTTCCTATACCAATGAAAAAAGTTTAATTTTTTTTTCCTCTTCTCATTTTTAAGAAACTTTACCTTTGTACTCTGAAACTTCATGCCTGGATGAATGTACAAATAGTAGAGAAATAAGGACAACAGGAAAAGAAAAGATGGTTGATAGGGAAGATTATTTCAGTTTGAGACTAAAAATTCATGGAATTTTTCTAGCTACAAGAACTTCATTCCAACTTCGTTTTATAGATAAAAATGGTCAGAGATCCAAAGAGGCTGGAGGTCTCACCACCAGGTGTCCGGGGCCTCTCCACTCCCACTATTCTACCCATCCATCTTCCTGAGAGCAGCGGGAGCTGGTGGGCATGATGGCTTGGAGTGGCACCTCAGGCCTGTCAGCCCTGGATGGTGAGCTCAAGGCCCCTGGGCAGGACAGGAGACCTGCGAGGAGAGCCATAGGTGGGGAGGATGTGAGGGACACAACGGCCAAGGATGGCCAGGAGGTAAGAGGATACTCGGAGGACCTTAGTGTCACCAGCTGAATTCCTCAGGTGACAGGTGGTAAGATTTCAATGGAGTAGGGCCTGGAGGTAGATGAGGCTAGGGAAGTTTGGGGCCAGCCTTGTCGCATTCGTTCCAAGACCTGCCTGGTGAAGGGCCTGTATTTGTTGAGTCTGTCCACTAGGGGTTTCTCAGCTGAGAAGCTGGGCTGAGGAGCTGGGACCCAGGTCAGAGGGCAGCGGGGCTTGACAGGAGGGCAGCCTTGGAAACTTCCTGGCCAGTGGTCTGCTGGTCTGATAGAATCAGTGAGCCCAGAGCCCTGAGCCCCTGTCCAGTGCTCGATTCTGGCTGTAAGGCGAGGAGAGAGGGGAAGCGCGATGTCATCCTGAGCAGAGCAGGTCCCATTGGCTCTATGCAGGGCAGGGGCTCCTCACCCTCCTGGCTGCCCTCATAAGAGCCAGGATCTTTCTCTCCTTGGTAGGGGCAGATGGCAACAGAGAGAAGACTTAATGCTGTGTTAGTTGGGTACTAAAGGGTCATCCTCCCACCCACCTGTGGGGCCTGGAGATGCCCCCAGGAGAGAGAGGAGGCCAGTGGAGGCTGTGTTCTCTCTCCCAACCCCCTCGGCATCACCTGTATGCCCATCTCTTGCTGGGCTCCCGCAGGTAGAAGGCAAATACTAAAGGGAAGGGAAAGGCATGGGGGTGTGGAGACAGCCTAAACAATGATTTGGAGCTGGACAGGAGACTGGGTTGGCTGCTGGGGTCCACTTAGACCGGCAGGAAGTATCAGGGAGTTGATTCAGTGGGCAGCTGAGCCTAGCCAGTGGGCCTGGCAGGAGCTGGACTCTGGGCTCCCACAAATAAGTGACCATTACAGAGATGACAAATCCTCCCTCATAGAGGGATAGCATGGGAACAGCGAGGGGGCAGCTGGAGAAGGGCTGTGCGGGGCTGGGAGTGCCAATCAGGGCAGCGGATCCCCAAGAGGCTTGTAAAACCCGAGTGGACAAGTGCGGAGTGCTGAGAGGGAGAGCTGCCGGCTGGGAGATACCGGAGCCACACTTGCCAAGGGGCCAAGGAGGGTGAGGGCAGCCAGGGTCCAGCAGACCAGAGCCACTCGGTGACACCTGAGTAGTCTGGGTGAGAGGAAAGAGGAAATCAGGAGTATCTGGCAGGGGTGCCCTTAGGCACAGGTGGAAAGACTAGAAGATGGAGGATGGAGAGGAAGCACCTGTGTCAAAAAAAAAAAAAAAGAAAGAAAGAAAGAAATGCCTCTGGAACTATCCACAGAGACCGGGCTCTGCCTTCAACACTCGGCAGGTTCCCTAGCACCTGCTACAATGGGTGCAGACTGGCGAAGGGCACACACAGTCCTGCTCCCAGGGAGACAGGCCCCGGGCAGCAGGGTAAGAAGAAGGAAGAAGGCTGCAGAGTTAGGGGCCGTGAGGGGCTGTGAGGGAAGGACAGCAGGAACCTATTTGAGATGGTGACCACAGAAGGCCTCTGAGACCTGAAGTATAATATGAGCTGAAGGATGAAATGGTAGGAGCTGGGGCGTGAACACAGGGCTGGAGGAATAAAGAGAGGGAGCAGGAGGAATAAAGAGAGGCTGTGGGTTCTACAGCCCATCCCCCCTGCCCCCAGGCTAGGACAGGGGCTTTGGAATTTCTTTTTCTTTTTTTTTTTTTTTTTTTTGAGACAGAGTCTCGCTTTGTTGCCCAGGCTAGAGTGAGTGCCGTGGCGTCAGCCTAGCTCACAGCAACCTCAAACTCCTGGGCTCAAGTGATCCTTCTGCCTCAGCCTCCCGGGTAGCTGGGACTACAGGCATGCGCCACCATGCCCGGCTAATTTTTTTTTTTATATATATATATCAGTTGGCCAATTAATTTCTTTCTATTTATAGTAGAGATGGGGTCTCGCTCTTGCTCAGGCTGGTTTTGAACTCCTGACCTTGAGCAATCCGCCCGCCTCGGCCTCCCAAGAGCTAGGATTACAGGCGTGAGCCACAGCGCCCCGCCTTTCTTTTTTTTTAATTGACAGAGTCTCGCTTTGTTGCACAGGCTAGAGTGAGTGCCCTGGCGTCAGCCTAGCTCACAGCAACCTCAAACTCCTGGGCTCAAGCAATCCTCCTGCCTCAGCCTCCCGAGTAGCTGGGACTACAGGCATGTGCCACCATGCCCGGCTAATTTTTTCTATATATATTAGTTGGCCAATTAATTTCTTTCTATTTTTAGTAGAGATGGGTTCTCACTTTTGCTCAGGCTGGTCTCGAACTCCACTCCAGAGCTCAAACAATCCGCCCACCTTGGCCTCCCAGAGTGCTAGGATTACAGGCGTGAGCCATGGAATTTCTAAGTGTGGGGGAAGCCAATAATCCATTCTCCACCTTCAATGTGGGGGGGAGAGGAGTCAGAAGGCCAGAGGATGACCAGGCAGGAGGTGCAAGTGGGCAGATCTGAGCTCTGTTTTGAAGGCAAAGGCAGCAAAACTCGCTCATGGGTTAGGTGTGGATGAGTCAGGGGGTCTCCCGGGTGTGGAGCCGTTGAGATTGTAGACGCAGGAGTTCTCTTTGTCGTGAATTTCATTCAAATTGTGTCCATTAGCCATAGGGGGAGGGAGGGCTAAAGAGGCCGTGGCACATGGAAGTCCAGAGCTCTGGGACAGAGATGAGAAATGTGCCAGTCAGCCTTGGCTGGTAGGGAGCCACGGAGGAAAGTTCTGGGCAGGCCAGCGCTGAGCACCGGGTCAGAGGCAAGGTGCGGGAAGAGAAGGCACCGGTACATGAAAAGCAGCCCTGGTGGTGCTGGGTGAGACAGCTGAGGCAGGGTGACCTGGGCAGTTTCAGTGCAGCGGTGGGGACAAAAAGACGGGCATGTGTGGGATGAAGCGATGCAGGGAGAGGGGCACAGGTAAGCCTGGGGGAGCTTGCTCCAAAGTGTAGCTGAGGAATTGGGCAGTGCCTGGAGGGGAAGGACGTTCAAGGGAGTGTTGGCGTTTTTTTTTTTTTTTTTAGAGTTAGGGTCTCACTTTGCTCGGTCGCCCAGGCTGGGGAAGTGCAGTGGCGCCACTATAGCTCACTGCAGCCTTGAACTCCAGGGCTCAAGCGATCCTCCTGCCTCAGCCTCTCCAGGCACCGGCCATTATGCCTGGCTGTGTTTTGGTTTTTAAATGAGATAACTATGCAGGTACTTCTAGTCCCAGATTCTAAAATCTGCAGGCTAGATGAGTGGCATCAGGGGAAGCCCAGCTGACCTTGCTTTAGAAAGCCATTAAGTTCCCTGGGGAACCCAGCGGTCATGGTTCTTGTGTCAACAGCCCAGTGAAGTCTGAGCCCTCAAGGGAGGGAATGAGAGGGGATGTGTGCCCATGTCTGGGTCCCTCAACCTGCCTGCCTGTGCAAGGACCCAGTGGGGCACAGGCAGGGAGACGTGTTTGCCCTCAGCTTCTGATCACCGCGGCACACGACACAGGTTGGAGGTGGAAAGGAAACAGCCTCTGATAGAGGGTCAGTCCAGAGGCAGCAGGGGCAGAGACAGCCAGGGAGAAGAGGGCCACAGGTGACTGGGGAGACTTGGCTGTGGCTCCTCTGTCCTCAGTAAGCTGAGGGGTGAGGTTCTCAGACGAGGGCGGAGGCAGCTGTGGCGAGCGGAGTGGGAGGCTGCCCCTCCAATCCAGGGTGCTTTCCTGGAACCCGTGGGCTGGAAGGACCCGGTGCTGGGAGCTGCTGGGAGGCAGATGCAGAAGGCCAGGCATTCCCAGATAGGAGAGGCTGGCGGTGAACAGGGTGGCTTTTCAGGAGGAGTCCAGCCGCTGGCCAGCCTGTCTGGCCTTGTTCCGGGGCAATGTCAGCCTGTCTGTTTTTCAGCTCCCTCCAAGCGGCCATCCCCTACCCAGGACACAGGGAGCCTGTGCCTTGACTGGAGCTCTAGCTAGAGGGCGTCTAGACAAGGCCCAAAGCGGTGCCCATGGCGACCCACTGTCTCCTCTCACCCCAGCCCTGAGTCTGTTGTCAGTCTACTGGGGCAGGTCATGGAACAGGTGTCTTCCCCAGTGCCTCCTGGATTCGTGGGAAGGCGGTGTGCTCAGGGCTGTCCCCTCAGACTGTCCATCCAAGAGGGGTACTCCATGGCTTTGCTCCTCAGCTGCTCTTATCTTGCTGGGAGGGAGACTGGGTCAGCCTTGCTCACCCCGTCCATGTCCATGCATGAGGCTCCTCCTTCGCCAGGAGCCCCTGGGGGCTGCTCTAGGCTGAGGTGGGCTTGTCTGCTGGCTGCCCCGCCGCCACCGCCACCGCCACCGGCTTTCCTCCTTCCTCCGTGGCGGGGAGCAGAACTGGAAGGAAGAACGGAAGCCAAGGACCACGTCCCAGCGGGGGTGAGGGGCAGGCGCCTGAGGCCAGAGTGTGAAGGGGGTTGGGAGGTTAGCACTTTGCAGGGGTGTGTTCCTGGGCCATTCCAGAGTGTGAAGGGGGTTGGGAGGTTAGCACTTTGCAGGGGTGTGTTCCTGGGCCATTCCAGAGTGTGAAGGGGGTTGGGAGGTTAGCACTTTGCAGGGGTGTGTTCCTGGGCCATTCCGAGGCCCGAAGGCTATGGAATCGTTTCCTGGGAGGCCACGGAGGGTCAGGCCGGGGTTCATCGCACAGGCTGCATTTGCCAGACCCCATCGCAGCGCGCGCGCCCGCCCGCGCACCACCGCCCCCTACACGTGCACACACACGCGCGCACACGCAGACACACGGCGCTCGCAGGAGACGAGGCGCCGGAAAAGGCGCGTCCCCAGGCTGGGCTCCCGCCTATTCAGGAAGGGAGACGGGGCGCCGGGGCCATTTTGGGAAGGAAAGAAGCCGAGAGCCACGACCTTCACCTAAGAGAAGGCCGACGGCGCGACGAGGCCAGGAGAGAAGCTTCGAGGCGCGTAGCGAGCAAACCCGACGTGGCCAAGGCCGGAGAGCAGCCGGCTCCGCGCGCCAGGGCGTAGCCCAGTGAATGCGCGCCCGCCCGTCTAGTTAGTCTGGGCGCGCTTCCTGGAGGAGGAGGAGGAGAAGGAGGGACTGGGTTTACCGGCGGAGCCACCAGGGTGAACGGAGGAGGCGGGGCAGCCAGCGGGCGTGGCTCTGCGGAAGGCCCCCGCCGAAGGGAGGAGGCAGGGGCCGGCCGCGCACTTAAAGCGGACGCCGGGGCAGCCCTCCGGGACTCGCCGCAGTCACACAAGCTCCGTGGGTCCGTGGGCCCATCGAGGCTCTTCCCAGAAGCTTCCCAGCCCCGCCCAGCCCATAACCCCGCGACGCTTGGTCCGGCGCACACCGGCCCGACGGAGCCGGGTGTACGCGGTCTAGTCAAGTAGCCGCGGGCGCCCGGGAGCAGCGCGCCCCGGTTTGAGCAGCCCTCCCGCGGGTGAGGACGCGGGTCGGGCGGATCGGACCCCGCCCTTGGCGGCACTGCCTCCTGCGCCGGGGCGGGGCGTGTGAGCGGCATTAGGACCCAGTCGCGGCGCGGAGGTGTGTCGCCGGCTCCCGCTGCTGGCCCGCCCGAGACGCCAAGTTTGGGGTCCCCGGGCGCGGGTGAGGAGCCGGGGGTGAGTGCGTGTGGAAGCCGTCCGGCGGCCAATCGCCCGGGCCATGGCCACGGCCACCAGGCGCTTGTTCCATCTGCAGCCGTGCGGTGGGTGCCTGAACCCGCGGGCGCGGCGGGGGCGCGGCGGGAAGGCCGCCCGGGTCTCCGCGGCCGAGGCGCGCAGGGCGGGGACGCGGAGTCGTCGGGGGCACGGGAGAGAACGCGGATGCCGCGGGCCTGCGCGGGCCGGGCGGGGGCCGAGACGGCTGTGTGGGGGCTTCCCGGCAGGGAGAAGGGGCCGGGTGCGAGTGCGGCCGCGGGAGCTCGGGTGCTCGGGGAGGCCGGGACGGCTCTGGGCGCTGCGCGCTTGAGTTAGTTAACGCTGTGCTGTCGCCGGCTTGAACTTCTTAACAGCTTTTGAACTAGTGATGCTGCCGGTGGAGGGGCGCGGGGCTCGGGAGTGGGCAGGGCGGCGCTGTGGGGTTCTGAGCCGGCCGCGCTGCCGCCTCGTAAGTCTCGTCTTACGCCCTGCCCGGGCACCTTCCCGCCCGCGCTGCGGCGAGCCCGCCTGCTCTTCGGGGTCCCGGCCAGGCGCCGGGTTTGTGCCACCATTTACCGCACATGGGGCCCGGAGTGTGCACCATCCCCACCCTTCCAAACCCTTGTGCCCCTGTCGGCCGTCCATCCTGCAGCCTTGGGCGCCAGCCTTACTGCCCCGCCCGCGCTCTGGATGCAGCCCCGGCTCCCACCCCACGCGTACTTCCACATCCTGCCCCCGACCCCCTGAGTCTCTCAGTCTGGAGGCTCTTTCCTCTCGTGCACGCGGCCCCTCCTGTCCCTTCCTTCCTCGCACGGTGAGGCACAAACAGCCCGGATCATCCCGGGCCCGGGCCCGGCTGGGCCCGGGGAGGGCGCGCAGCCGCCCCCACCCATGTGTGCCTCACGCTCCCCCACCCGCGCTTTGCCTCCCTTATGGACCAATGGCTCCGCCTCCAGGCGGCCAGGCCAGGGCCCAAGGGAGGAGGCCATTGCCGGGTCGCCCCCTGTGACCTGGGCACGCAGTCGGGTAGGGGGAACTGCGCAAGTAATGGCCCCCCGGGATGAGGCTGAGAGACATAGGAGCAACATGCAAAGAGGAGGGCGCCGGCCCAGCACCTGGGCGCAGGTGCTGGGCTTGGCAGAAGAGCCAGGTGGGGAGGCCTCCCCCCTCCCGCCCGGGCCTGGGTTACATTCAGTTAGAAAAGTGAAGATTTAAAGAACATGGTACTGTTCCCAACTTGGTGGGGAAAACATCCCAAGAATGTCTCTCCTCCTTGCCCCTTGCCCACCTGGGCTGCCTGGCAGATAGGCTTAATTTCTTACATTAAGTCTGGCTTCCCCTGCCTCCTCGTGGGGTCCCCTTCCTAGGAGTGTCCCCTGCCCCCTCTTTCTCCCCAGAATGGCCTGGGTGCGTCCCTGGGAAGGCTAAGAAGGAAGGGCAGGGTTGGTGTGGGGTAGGGTGCAGGTGAGCACTGGAGATTGCCCAGGGCTGGTCCATGAGGCTGGTGACAATTCTTTGGCTTCCCTTGCAGAAGACGTTTCCACCATGTCACAGAATGGATACTTTGAGGATTCAAGTGAGTATTGCTCAGTGAGGGTGCGTGTGTACAGAGAACTAGTTAGTTGGAAGCCTCTAGGGGACCTAGCCCACCCACCTGTGTCCCCATGGCTTTGGCCACCTGTCTGTGGTCTGCTGCTGGTGCTGGAATGTCTTAGGATCCCACTGCCTAAGTTGTGGTGAGGAGAGCAGGCAGCTGGAGGGTGGACACTGGCAGGCCCCTGGTGGCCCTGTGATCCTGGGAGTGCAGGTGCACCCTCTAGTGTCCTCCCCTGGTTTGCTCTCATGCCTGCTCTGTTGCCTGACTAGCCTCAGGCCAAGCACTGTGTATGCTCCTTAACCCTTAGTCTTTGCCCAGCCCTGGAGGCAGGGGCTATCATTGTCCCTTTAAGAAATGTAACCTCTCTGCCAGGCGCAGTGGCTCACACCTGTAATCCTAGCACTCTGGGGGGCCAAGGCTGGTAGATCACTCAAGGTCAGGAGTTTGAAACCAGCCTGAGCAAGAGTGAGACCCTGTCTCTACCAAAAATAGAAAGAAATTAATTGGCCAACTAAAAATATAAAGAAAAAATTAGCCAGGCATGGTGGCACATGCCTGTAGTTCCAGCTACTCTGGAGGCTGAGGCAGAAGGATTGCTTCTGGAGTTTGCCCAGGAGTTTGAGGTTGCTGTGAGCTAGGCTGCAGCCACAGCACTCTAGCCTGGGCAACAGAGTGAGACTCTGTCTCAAAAAAAAAAAAAAAAAAAAAAGAAATGTAATCTCTCTGTGCTTCAGTTGTCCCTGCTTGTACCAGTCTAGCTGTCCTCCCCATGTCTCCAGGCTCCGTGCTGCCTTGCCTGTGCCCGGCCCATGAGCTGCCCTGTCAGAGGGTTGTTGAGTGGGACAGTGCATAGACATGGTGGTGACGTGCTCCCACCCAGGGCCTGGGGACTCTGTGCCAGGCTGCTGGTGGGCTGGTTAGGTATGTAGCTGGGCTGTGGGATGGGGCATGGGCACATGGCATGGCAGGAGCCCTCTAGGGACCTCACCTCTAGCATCAGCTAGGGAGGTCCTTAACTAGGGGAGAGCTGCGGCTGAGAAAAGTAGAGCTCAGGGTGGGGGGACAGTGGATGCTGGTGAGGGGGCAGATCGGACGTGGGGGCACATTGGGGCTAGGGGAACCAGGTGGTTTAAACAAGGCAGCCCTGGAATGAGGAGGGAGCTTGTCATGAGCTCCGTGACAAAAGCAGTGAAGACATCTTTTGACCTAATGGTTCTTCCCTGGGCTCTGGAGATCACCAGTCCCTGGGGTCTTTGACATGGGAGGGGCCCAGGCTGAGCTCAGGACATTGGGGGTACAGACAGGGCCTGGAATGTACCAAGGAAACTGGCGGGCAGGAGTGGAAGTGACTCAGGGTGAGTCACTGCTGGCAGGTGGAGGCGTGCTGCTGACCCGTCGCTGGCCCTGCACAGGTGCTTATCAGGCATTAGTGGGGTCAAGAGCCCCTTTCCTGGGAGCAGCTATAAGTGGGGAACCCACAGAACAATCAAGATGAGGGGTCATCTAGGCCCAGAGTGAGACAGGGCCCTAGGAGGACTTCCCAGAGCAAAAGGTTCCAAGTGAGCCTCGAACAAGGCCCTCCGGGGAGGGAAGCCCTCGGCTGGGAAGACACGAGCTGGCGATCAGGACACGGGTGGCACGGCTGGCTCAGACTGCGATCCTGCAGGCTGCAGGGAGCACGGCGGGGCTCAGGGAAGGGAGGGGCCTGTGTCTATAGCCGAAACTCCTACATGCAGGAGGCTGTGCTGTGGGGCGGCTGCAGGAGCTGAGGGGCAGACCAAGAATGGGGAGCAGGGGTGGGCACCATGCCCTGAGGTCCCACATCCCAGGGGTGCCATGACACAGCCTGGCCACCATGGGGGAGGGGCATGATGGGGCAGGGCGGGATGAGGCCTCCTCGGAAACCCGTCCCTGGCTGTTGCTCTGGCTCTTCTGCTCCCTGGGTCCTGTCTGATGTCTGGACTCTGATGAGCTCTGAGACCCTGTGCCAACAGGGCAGCAGGGGAGGGTGGCCGTCTAGGTACTGTAGTGGCTCTGCCTTCCCTTGAGTCCCCTAATTTGGGGGTGCTGGGAGGGCAGGGACAGGACAGGCCTGTCTGTATCATTACACCCCATGTTTGGCCCAAAGTTTCGGGGGTAGAAATAATTTTTTCAAGCTGAAGCAATGCAGGGCCCCAGTTCCCACTGCCAAAGAATGTTGGAGAAAGTCACCGGGTGGGGGTACTCTGCCTGGGGCTGGGGCGGGACTAGGTACTCTGCCTGCCTGGCCTGAGGCTCCTGCCTGGTCTTGGGGGGCCTCTCCCACTGTTCACTGGAGAGTGGGCCGAGGGGGACAGTCCAGGGACCCCCCACTCCTTGGGCTTGGAGCCCCTCCTTCTGGTGTGCAGCACTAATAGTCAGGCCCTCTTGGGGGTCTCTCTTGGTGGCTTTTTGGGTCTCTAGACTACTACAAGAGTGACACAGATGACACCTTCGAAGCCCGTGATGAAAGCCTGGGGGATGAGGTTTTTGACACCGTCAACTCCTCCATCGTGTCTGGCGAGAGCATCCGCTTTTTTGTCAATGTCAACCTGGAGATGCAGCCCTCCCAGGCTGGTATGGGGGCTGCAGCAGGGACAGGGTGGGGAGGGCAGGGGCCGGGCCTGTAGGGCCTCACTCTAGCAAGAGAGGCCTGAAGAGCTGGGGTGGCACCTGAGCCGTCCCCTTTCCTCCGCAGAGAGCGAGGCGGCACTGGGTGGCTGCGTGCTCCTACACACCTCCCGCAAGGTGAGCGGCCAGCCTGCAGCACGGTCCCGAGGCCCCTGGCTGGGCCAAGGTGGCTGCGTCCCTTAGATTCCTCGTGCTGTTTCCCTGTCCCCATGCCTACAAGAGCACCCCAACAAGGATCTCAAAGTGGCCTGAGGCTGGGCTGCTGGTCCTGGTCCCAGTGGGCAGGGGCAGCTGGGAACCCCCACGGAGGGGTGGGCCAGGCAGTGACAGTGGTCTCAGTCATGGGCCTTTGTGGTTCTGTGCCTGGGGTCCCTCAGTACCTGAAGTTAAAGAACTTCAAGGAAGAGATCCGCGCGCACCGGGACCTAGATGGCTTCCTGGCGCAGGCCAGCATCGTCCTGAACGAGACGGCCACCTCGCTGGATAACGTGCTGCGAACCATGCTGCGCCACTTCGCTCAGGACCCCAACAACACCGAGCCCGACTGCAACCTGGACCTGCTCATGGCCATGCTCTTTACCGACGCCCCCATGCAGGGGAAAGGTACGGTGCCCCCTGCCTGGCGGGGAGGTCATGGGAGGTCAGGAGGTGGCCAGCTGACCTGCCCCCTCCTCCGCTCTGTCCTCAGTTCACCTGCTGTCAGATACCATCCAGGGAGTCACTGCCACGGTCACAGGGGTGCGATACCAGCAGTCGTGGCTCTGCATCATGTGAGTTGCCAGGCCACTTGTCACATTGGAGCAGGGCGTCCCCCGTCCCTGGAGAGGCTGCCCCCTACGAGTGCCGCTGCTCTGGCGCATGTCGGGAGGGGAGGGTTGGAGCGCTCCATCCCTTTTGGTCTCTGTCTGCCTTAACAGCAGTCACCAGGGGTCCCGGGCGGGCAGAGCCCCCACTTCCCAGGTGGCAAGTGTGGACTGTGTGCCCTCCCCTCCCTGCCAGCTGTACCGTGAAGGCCCTGCAGAAGCGGCACGTGTGCATCAGCCGCCTGGTTCGCCCGCAGAACTGGGGGGAAAATTCCTGTGAGGTTCGGTTCGTCATCCTGGTGCTGGCCCCACCCAAGATGGTGAGTAGAGATCTCAGGGTGGCACCCCTTTCTGGGGAAGAGGGTCCCAGGTCCCCTGTCTTCTGTGCGTCAGGGGAGGCCCTAGTCCTGGACTCTGGCCCTCCCCTTCCCCTCTGCCTGTTCTTGCTAGGTCCTCGCCATGTCCCGGTTTGCTCCCAGGTTGCCCAGGAGGCTGCATTTCCTTCGTGACTGAAAAGAAATGCTTTTTACAATTATTCTTATTCAAACACAGGGGCCTTTCTTTGGGCTGCCCCCCACCCTAACCCTTCTAGTTGGCTGACTTTATGATTTACTGGCCAAGGATCCATTATCCGTCCTGGACCATACAGCTGCTGGGCAGGGGTCCCCTGCTTTTGTGGGGGCTGCAGTTGATTCAATTTGGGGAGTCTTCTTTGAAGGATACTCCTGCATAGAAGATTGCTAGGGCCCCTCCCATGGCCTCGAAAGGGCCTTAATGCTTAAGCTGCTGTTAGCTTCTTGACAATTCTGCCTCTGCCTCTGGTGCAGGCCTCCCTCCTCTGGCTTCCCTGGGCAGAGGGGCTGCTGAGGGGAATGTCCCTCTCAGGGATCTCATAGACTTGCTGTGAAACTCCCCACATGTTCCCATGCTGGTGAGGGAGGAAGGGCAGCTCACAGGTCAGAAGGAGTGACCCCTAGCAGGGTGGCCAGAACAGCAGAAGCAGCGGTGTCCTAAAGCCGAGTTGCTAGACTGCTGCCTCAGGCAGGTCAGCTGGCCCGACACCGTGCACCTCCTGTTCTGAAGCATGGTACTCACAGAGCCCCAGGACCATAGCCAAGAGCAGGGGACCTAGGCTGGGAAGATGAGCAGGTTGCCTTGGGGACTGGACACTGAGTTCATGGTTCATGGTCAGTCCTGACCTTGGCCAGGCAAGAGGGAGAGGGCCTAATGGGCCTGGATCCCCCCTCTGAAGGTCAAATAAACCAGTGGCCAGTACAAACACCACTGGCGAAACATAGCTGGGTAAATGCCTTAGTCTATTGTGATTTCACTGTCCATGATTACACAGATTTTTGTTGCTTAGGACAAGATTAATATCTGAGGTTATGAGAAATCATGAGTACATAAGAAAAATATAGATTGACGGTGGTTCTGGTGATCCACTGACTTGTTGGAAATTGTGGTAGGGCACACTGATGCCTGAACTGGGAACGACACCTGCTGCCAGTTCGTGCGGAGAGCACTGCCACCTGCCTGGGAACACCTTGCCTGTGCTTGGCAGGGCAGGGCTTCCCCTGCTCCCCAGGGGGCTGTGGACGTGACTCTGACATCCTCCACCCCCAGAAAAGCACCAAGACCGCAATGGAGGTGGCACGCACATTTGCCACCATGTTCTCGGACATCGCCTTCCGCCAGAAGCTCCTGGAGACTCGCACGGAGGAAGAATTCAAGGAGGCCTTGGTGCATCAGAGACAGCTGCTCACCATGGCCAGCCAGTGTCCAGTGACGAGAATGAAAGAGCACAGCATGGTCTCCTTCCATGGCCACAGACACCCACAGGTACTGGGCAGGAGGGGACATGGGCCGGGCAGGAGGGGACATGGGCCAGACAGGGCCAACAGGCACTCTGTCCTTTCCCCCAGCCCCTGAAGTGCAAGGACTTTGTCCCTTTTGGGAAGGGCATCCGGGAGGACATCGCACGCAGGTTCCCTCTTTACCCACTGGACTTCACTGATGGTAGGTGCCCAGTGGCCCATGCAGAGCGTGGCTTCTCAGGCCACAGGCCCACGTGTGTGCCCATCCTGCATCCCCAACACACCCTCTGTCCTGCCCCCATTCCTAGGCATTATCGGGAAAAACAAGGCCTTGGGCAAGCACATCACCACCACCCTGTTCCTCTACTTCGCCTGCCTCCTGCCCACCATTGCTTTTGGGTCTCTCAATGATGAGAACACAGATGGGGCCATCGGTGAGGGGCCGGCGGTGGGCGGGATGTGCCGGGCAGGGCCTGGGGCCGTGGTGCCCCCCTGACCCGCTCGCCCCCGCAGATGTGCAGAAGACCATCGCTGGGCAGAGCATTGGAGGCCTCCTGTACGCGCTTTTCTCCGGGCAGCCGCTGGTGATCCTGCTGACAACCGCGCCCCTGGCCCTCTACATCCAGGGTGCGGTGGGGTCGAGGCGGGAGATGGTGCCTAAGGTCCCTGGTCCCGGCTGGGCCCTGACCCCACCCTGCCCCCTGCCTGCAGTGATTCGAGTCATCTGTGATGACTACGGCCTGGACTTCAACTCCTTCTACGCGTGGACCGGCCTGTGGAACAGTTTCTTCCTCGCACTTTATGCCTTCTTCAACCTCAGCCTGCTCATGAGTCTCTTCAAGAGGTGACTGCTCCTTCCCTGAGGGCCTCATGCCAGCCTCTGAGGCTCTGCGACCCTAGGGCGGAGGCGTGCCTGCCCCACCATGTCGCTGCCCCCGCGGGCTGGGGTGGGCTCACTGGGCAAGGCCTGGGGCCCAGGTCCTCTTAGTGGCAGGAGGAGATGGGGGCCACGCAGAGCCTCTGTGACGCCTCTGGCCGCCCCCCCACACCCCCTCTTACAAGGCCCATCACCTCCTGGCAGGTCCACGGAGGAGATCATCGCCCTCTTCATTTCCATCACGTTTGTGCTAGATGCTGTCAAGGGCATGGCTAAAAGTGAGTGCGCAGCAGCAGCACCTGCTGTAGGCTGAGCTAGGTTGGGATGGGGGCTCTGGGCTCTGGGCTGGCTGGGCTGACAGGAAGGGCATGCTGAGGGTGCTCCCCTGGCAGAGGTGCGCCGGGAGCCGCGGCTGGCAGAGAGCAGCAGCCCCACCTACTGGAGGGTGATGGGGCTGCAGCAGGAAGCAGAGCCCAAATGGCTGAGGCCTGTGGGCCCTGTTCACAGTTTTCTGGAAGTACTACTATGGGCATCGTGTAGACGACTACCACACAAAGAGGGCTTCATCCCTGGCGAGCCTGGAGGGCCTCAGCACCAGCCTCAACGCCAGCCTCCACACCGCCCTCAACACCAGCCTCAACGCCAGCCCTACAGAGCTGGGCACGGCGGGCAGCCTAGGAGCTGTGCACTCGGGCCGGGCAACCGCTGTGCTCAGCCTCCTCATCATGCTGGGCACGCTCTGGCTGGGCTACACCCTCTACCAATTCAAGAAGAGGTGAGGGGGCTAGGGCTGAGGGGAGGGCCACGCAGCCCACAGGCCACACTGACATCTGCCTATCCGCAGCCCCTACCTGCACCCCCGAGTCCGAGAGGTCCTGTCCGACTGCGCCCTGCCCATCTCAGTGCTCGCCTTCTCCCTCATCAGCTCCTATGGCTTCCGGGAAATTGAGAGTGAGTTGCGACTGGGGGAGGGTGGCGTGGGGCTGCTTTCTGGGTGCTGCAGGTGCAGCAGGGGCCTGTCCTCTGCTGCAGTGAGCAAGTTCCGCTACAACCCCAGCGAGAGCCTGTTTGAGATGGCACAGATCCACTCGCTGTCCCTGCCGGCCATCAGCAGCACCATGGGCCTTGGTTTCCTGCTCTCCATGCTCTTCTTCATCGAGCAGAACCTGGTGGCCGCCTTGGTTAACGCCCCAGAGAACAGGTATGGGGGCTGGCAAGGGCGGGGGCCCGACCCTCTGGGGGCGAGGGGGCTCAGTGCCCATGTGCCCGCCTGTTGCAGGCTGGTGAAGGGCACTGCCTACCATTGGGACCTTCTGCTCCTGGCCATCATCAACACGGGGCTGTCCCTGTTTGGGCTGCCCTGGATCCATGCTGCCTACCCCCACTCCCCGTTGCACGTGCGGGCGCTGGCTTTAGTGGAGGAGCGCGTGGAGAACGGGCACATTTATGAGACGTGAGTGTGAGGGGCCCCTTGAGACCCGGGAGGGATATGACCCTGTGCACGAGGTTCCAGAGGTGAGGCTTGGCCCTGGGACACCGCAGGATCGTGAACGTGAAGGAGACGCGGCTGACCTCGCTGGGCGCCAGCATCCTGGTGGGCCTTTCCCTGCTGCTGCTGCCCACCCCGCTGCAGTGGATCCCCAAGCCTGTGCTCTACGGCCTCTTCCTCTACATCGCGCTCACCTCCCTGGATGACAACCAGCTGTTCCAGCGTGTGGCCCTGCTGCTCAAGGAGCAGGTGAGCGCCTGGCCCTAGAAGGGAGGGCTGCGGTGGGGATTCATCCTCTGCCTGCCCACACCTGGTTCCTGCCGCCCACCCGCAGACTGCGTACCCCCCGACGCACTACATCCGGAGGGTGCCCCAGAGGAAGATCCACTACTTCACAGGCCTGCAGGTCCTGCAGCTGCTGCTGCTCTGCGCTTTCGGCATGAGCTCCCTGCCCTACATGAAGATGATCTTCCCCCTCATCATGATTGCCATGATCCCCATCCGGTACGGGGCGCAGCCTCAGGCCGGAGAGTGGGTGGGCTGGGGGCAGGCAGTGGGCAGGAGGGGCCCAGCGAGGCCCTCTGGGTGGGCTGGGGGGCACCAGTACCTTCTCTGTCCCTGTGTTCATCTTCCCATCCCTCCTTCCTCTCCTCCCCCAGCTACCTCCTGCTGCCCAGAATCATTGAAGCCAAATACTTGGACGTCATGGATGCTGAGCACGGGCCATGATGGCAGGTGTGGGCACACCCCGTCCGCCTGCCCCCCGCCCCATGCTCCAGGCTGGCTCTGGGGCTGCCTGGGGAGGTGGGTTCTGGGTGGTTGCTGTGCTGTACCCTCGCCCAGCTGACTCAGGCCTAGCCGTCTGGGCCTTGTGGGGGTCCAGTGGTGTGTGCCCACCCCTCTCACTATTTTCCTTTAGCTTTGGGCCATGAACGTTGCTCAGGGCAGCTACTGCCCAGGGTCAGACTAAGCAGGATGGATTTTCTTTTGATAAAAGAGTCAATGCCTGAAAGAGAAACCATTTCCTTGATTGTGTAAGGAACTCACTGTGTGCACATTAGAGAATAAAGCTCTTGTTTCTATGCTTCTCTGTGCCACCTCTGTCCCTGCTACCGCCACGTCAGCCCCACACTGGGGAGGGGAAAGCCTCCCTGGGGAAGTGGAGTGAAAAGGACGGGTATTTGTTGAGGGCTGCCTGTGGGCTGTGACCTCCCACCCTGCACAGTGGACGTTGGTCCAGCGTGAAACGTGGAAGCTCCAGGAAGCCTTTGTGTGGCCATTTCCAGGACCTGTAGGGACAATGTTCTGGGAACAGCATGTGCAAGGGCCCAGAAGAGAGGGCCTGGGCCGCTGAGGTGCTGTGGCAGAGAGCAGTCTGGTGTGGAGGGACCAGCAGGGCTGACAGCAAGGGGCGCAGTGACTCAGGTGGAAGCTGCTTGAAAGGTGCCGAGGGGACTGGGTACAGGCTGGGGGTCGTCAGAGCAGCAGTTCTGAACTATCCCATCTGCTCCGTGGATCCTAGGTGTTACAGGTGCACCACCCTCACCAGGGCAGGGACAGTGTGCCGAGGTGGGTGGAGGGAAGTGGAACTGCAGATGGCAGGATGTGTGGGGGTCTGGGAAGCAGGGAATGCGGACCTGGGGCTGGGTGGGATGCCCTGTGCATACCTGCGAGCAGCAGCAGTGGTAGATAGCCCGGCACATCACCTTCCAGGACTCTGGCTTGACAAATGCCCCATGGACTAAGGTAGCAGCCTGAGAGAAGAGATTGGCTACACCTAAGACTGGAAAGGACTCATATAAAATATGCATAGTTCCTGCAAACCAGCAAGAAAAAGCAGCCCCAGTAGCAAAGAGGCAAAGGCGGGGATCAGAAGAGGGAGCCCCAAACAGGAATGAGTGAGTGGCAGGAGGTGCTCAAACCCTTGGTAACCAGAAACACGAGCCAGCCATGAGATGCCCCCTTACACTGGGTAGACTGGGCAGTGCTGGGCGGGGCCCAGGGAGCTCTGTGCCCGGCCGAGGGTGGGTGCGAGCACACTCACCCTGCTCTCACATACAGCAACAGTCAACAAAGAAGACTTCTAGGGCCAAATAAGGGGACCTCGCTCCACCTGCCAACAATCAGTTCTGCAGCAATCGCCAGCTGGGCATCCTCCAATTGAAGTCTGCTACTGTCCACCTGGAGATAGCCTCAGATGCCATAGGTTGAGGGCTCAGGCCCACAAGGCCGCCCCCTCCTGCCCACCAGTTGTAAGTCTTGGTCTCCAGAGCTCCTGACCAACCGGCTTCAAGTTAGGGTTCCTGCGACCCTCCCTTTGGGTTTGACTGACGGCTAGAGCAGCTCAAAAAACGGAGGGAAGCAGGTTTATCAGTTTAGTATAACGGATATTACAAAGTACAGACAAAGATGTGTGGGGCAAGGTTGGGGAAGGGGCGCACCCTTCAGAAGCCGCCTTGTGTCCAGTTACCTGCTACCCAGCAGTGGTCTTCCCAGTGACCAGTCCCCATCCTAAAGCATCAGTCAACCATTAGCACACACAAAGACATGACTTGGGAGATTCTAAGCATTTTAGGAGTTGTCTACCAGGAAACTGGGGTTAAAGACCAAATATATATTTCACAGTATCATAGTGGCTAAAGTGAAAAAATGAAACAGAAGGTGTTATGTGCATTGTAGAACTCCGGAGGAGCTTGGCGCAGCTGTGCAGCAGAGAGGGGTGCCCTGTCCCAACCCCCACACCCAGGTGGTATGTGATTCTTCTTTAGGGCCCCCTCACCAGGAGCCAGGGGTGTTCCCTGCACGTGGGGCCACATCCAGAATCACCTGGCAAGGAGCAGGCAGGCCCCCAGCACTGCAGGTCTGAGGACCAGCCAGACTTTTTCCACCTACCCAGAAGGCTGCTCAAGAGGCCAGGCAGGGGTGTGGCGCCTCCTGGGAACTCACGCAGGTGGGGCAAGAGGGCAGTGAAGGAATGTTCTGTCTTCACTCACACACACGGCCCCAGTTCAGGGGAAGAAACAGTTCTCAGAATTATTCGATCCAGGCCCTGGGCCACCTTGCCAGGACTAACAGGGACTTGCAGGGAACTCTCTAGAGTGGCTTGTGAGCACAGAATGAAGCCTGGGAGTGACCCTCTAGGCTGAGCAGCCCCAGACCCACCTGCTTTCTGACCTGACCTCCCTTGGGGTTGGGCACTGCTTACCCGAGGATCACGTGCAGGAAATGCAAGGGAGTCACATGGGCCCTAAAGACCCTTCTGGGAAATGGCTTCCCTAGGGCATAGCAAGGGTCCAGGGCAGCTGAGCCTGGCCTGAGGGGCCTTAGTCCCCAAACTGAACTGTGGCATGTCAACCCAACTGGGGTCAATGACTCCATCTCCCTCTTCACCATAAAAATGAACTTGGGGACAGCATGGCAGTGGCTCATGCCTGTAATCCCAGTACTTGCAGAAGGATCACTTGAGGCCAGGACTTCGTGACCAGCCTGGGCAACATAGCCAGACCCCATCTCTAAAAAAACTTAAAAAAATATGGCCGGGCACGGTGGCTCACACCTGTAATCCTAGCACTCTGGGAGGCCGAGGCGGGTGGATTGCTCAAGGTTAGGAGTTCGAAACCAGTGTGAGCAAGAGCAAGACCCTGTCTCTACTATAAATAGAAAGAAATTAATTGGCTAACTAATATATATGTAGAAAAAATTAGCCGGGCATGGTGGCACATGCCTATAGTCCCAGCTACTCGGGAGGCTGAGGCAGGAGGATTGCTTGAGCCCAGGAGTTTGAGGTTGCTGTGAGGTAGGCTGACGCCACGGCACTCACTCTAGCCTGGGCAACAAAGCGAGAATCTGTCTTAAAAAAAAAAAAAAAAAAATTAGCCTGTAGGTGTAGCTTGCACCTGTAATCCCAGCTACTTGGGGAGCTGAGGTGATAGGATCATTTGTGCCCAGGAGATCCAGCCCGGCGACAGAGCGAGACCCCGTCTTTATTTTTTAAAAAACAACTTGACATTAATCATAAACCAACAGTTGAGCAATCCAAATGTATAACAGCATGAAGCAAAAGCACTGGACATTCCACACTGCCCACCCCAGCAAAGACCACAGAAGCCAGCTGGGCAGGGGCAGCCCCCATGGCTGGGTGGACAGGGTGGATTTGGTGAAGGGGAGGTCAGCCCATGATCCATGACTTAAAGAATGAGGAAAGAACACCAGTGGAGATGTAATTCTCCAGCCCATGACAGCATGTGACACCTTCCACTCAGTACTGCCCTTGACCGCCCCCCCACCTCCACCCCCATCCCCAAGGCTTCCTGCACCTGCCAAGGGACTCAGGAGACAGGAACCTGCCTGGGGCAGGGTTCAAAACAGATAAACCTGGTTTATTTTGGAAACATGAACCATTCAGAAATTTTATTTGCTGCATTTTAAAAACATCTAAGGCTGTTTGCATGGTTATTTCCCAAATGCTCAATCCTGCCAAGGCCAGTTTTAACACCCAAGGTCTCTTCAGGTTCCCAGGCCTGGAGGCTGTAGGGAGATCATTGAATCCTTGAGGGCAAGAGGACGGTGTCAATCTGCCCAAACTTCCTCTAAGCAGAGCCAGCTGCTCCTTCACACAGCACTGGTGAGGCTGCCTCGACACCCCCAGGAAGGGGGAACCCTGAAAGCAGTACTTTGAGGGGTGCCTGCCGGCTGGGGGAGGTCTCAGGCTAGCCCTCCCCAGCCCCCTGGCCCGAGTGGCCTTGTGCAGCCCCAGGAGAGGTCAAGCTGTCAAAGTACTCTTGAAGCTTGCGCAGAGCCCGGGAGCGGTGGGAGATGGCATTCTTCTCAGCCTTGGGCATCTCTGCATACCTGAGGGGTGACAGCAGCAGCTCAGAGAAGAGGGATCCCAGATTCAGGGAGGAAGTATACCCCTCACTCTACCCCACCCCATCCCTGAACCTCGAAGCTCGGGAAGCCCCCAGGAAAGGGGAGCAAGGGACATCAGCTCCTGGCAGCGTTACTTTTTAAAAAATTGGCTAGAGTTTTAAATTCCTCTGGAGGTAGAAACTTATATTAATGAGCATGGAGGGATATTAAACTTGCTTTCATGTGCCCAAAACATCATGGGAAGCTGGGGACAGGGGATGACCTGCGTGTTTGATCAGCTTTGTCGTCTGTTGACAGGAAGCAGTGGGGCCTGACAGAGCAAACACAGCCGTCTCCTCTGTGGCACTGGGGCAGGGAGGACCCGAGCAGCTGGCCAGTGGCTCATCCTCCGTGCCAGGATTCCAGTGCCATGAGAATCCCATACCCACCTGTGACCTTCACACTTGCACTGTCCAATATGGTAGCCACTGGCCATCTGTGGCTGTTTGGTGGTCACGCAACTGGACAGCGCAGATATAAAACATTTCTGTCACCAAGAGCTTCTAGGACAATGCTGTTTCACAATGTCCTCAGCCTTGCCTGGCTACTGTGAGGTCAGAGGCCACACTCCCCGAGGGACCCTCCAGCCTGGGAGGCTTGATTCTAATAACATCTCGTGTAAATATCGGGGCATTAGTTTGAAGTACCGAGAACTGGTATTGCGAGGGCTCAATGTGGTGCCCACCAGAGGCTGCAAAAGTGCCAACATTTTCCCAGTCTAGCTGGGGGAGTCAGAAAATCATCCCACAAAGTCATCATGTTTATATATAACAAGCCAAGGCCAGAGAGGGGCAGATACTGGTCACACAGCTGATCTGGGGTGAGCTAGAGTCCCAGAGCCCAGCGCTCCCAGCTCCACCCAGCTGCCTCCTCCACACCATGCACTGGGCCACCAGATTCCTTGTGTCCACCCCAGCAGAGATGCCTCCAGCTAGAATGACACCCTCAGAGCCTGCCCCCGCCCACATCCGCGTGCCTGCACTTGGGCGGGGCAGCCACCCAAGCCGAACCACAGCTATCCTGACCCCACACCCTGGGGAAGAAATTGAGGCTCCTCACGTCTGCTCATATCCATCAGGCTGAAAGCAGGGGTCCCAGCCAAAGTCCCGGCAGCCTCGGGGCTCCACGATCTGGCCCTGCCACAGGAAAAAGGAGGACAAGTGTGTAACCTGGCATGGAGGAGACGCACTAAGAGGGCAGCAGCCCAGTTTGAGTCTGGTTAGTTTATGAATTTGATCAGACCCTATTTACTCAACATGCAGTTTCCAGGGGCCCATGGTACCCGCAAATGTTTGCTGAATACATAAAGAAAATGCACACTCTAGCCTGAGCAACAAAGTGAGACTCTGTCTCAAAAAAACAAACAAACAGGCCGGGCGAGGTGGCTCACGCCTGTAATCCTAGCACTCTGGGAGGCCGAGGCGGGCGGATTGCTCGAGGTCAGGAGTTCGAAACCAGCCTGAGCAAGAGCGAGACCCGGTCTCTACTCTAAATAGAAAGAAATTAATTGGCCAACTAATATATATAGAAAAAAGTAGCTGGGCATGGTGGCACATGCCTGTAGTCTCAGCTACTTGGGAGGCTGAGGCAGCAGGATTGCTTGAGCCCAGGAGTTTGAGGTTGCTGTGAGCTAGGCTGACGCCAAGGCACTCACTCTAGCCTGGGCATCAAAGCAGGACTCTGTCTCAAAAAAAAAAAAAAAAAAAAAACAAACAAAAAACACAGAGTGGGGCAGCTCTTGCCTCACAGGGAGGGACCCTGTACTTGATTAGTCCACCAACACCTATAGAGCCACCCGCCATCTCCATACCTTTGACACACTGTGACCTCACTGAAGAAAAATGAGTCAACTTTGAAAAATGGACAGAAAGCATTTTCTCCTAATAGCAAATTAAGAGCCCTAAACATTGTGCACAGCCCTATGCCTGCTACTGTTACAGTATTGGTCCAAATACAGAGAGGCTCTAACAATGAAATCAAATCCCAAAACAGGAAGTACTCAGCACAGCAGCCGACATGTAAATGAGCTCAGTAAGTACTGGCTGTAATATGCAAATTCCAAAATGAAAATGCTATAAAGAGAACAAACTGTGGCCAGGTGTGGTGGTTCACACCTGTAATCCTAGCACTCTGGGAGGCTGAGGTGGGTGGATCACTCAACATCAGGATTTTAAAACCAGCCTGAGCAAGAGCAAGACCCCATCTCTACTAAAAACAGAAAGAAATTAATTGGCCAACTAAAAATATATAGAAAAAAATTAGCCAGGCATGGTGGCATATGCCTGTAGTCCCAGCTATTCAGGAGGCTGAGGCAGGAGGATTGCCTGAGCCCAGAGTTTGAGGTTGCTGTGAGCTAGGCTGACACCATGGCACTCTGGCCTGGACAACACAGTGAGACTCTGTCTCAAAAAAAAAAAAAAAAAGAAAAGAAAAGAAAAAAAGAAAACAAATTGTAATCCAGTGACATGAAGATCCAAAGGCAAAATCTGTTTCCGATATGGGGAGCTGGGTAACCAAGGCCAGTACTGAACAACTCTGAACCTCACCCATGCAATAAATGATTTTTGAGCACCTACAGTGGGCCAGGCAGTGTTCTGAAGGCTGGGGTCACATCTTGGCCTCATCTTGCCCTCAAACAATGGACCTCTTTTGCAAAACAGGCATTATACCAGTAACCAAATGAATGACTACCAAATGCAAAGTGCCTTAAAGGGAAGGGACAGAGTGTTGAGCTCAAGAATAACTGGACAGACTGACTTAGATGGGAAGCCCAGGGAAGGCCACAGTGAAGATGGGACACTTTGGCTACATAAATGGCTAGAGCAAGAACATTCCAGGCGCAGGGCACAGTTGGTGCAAAGGTTCTGATATGGGGAACAGCTTGGCATATCTGAGTTGCTGAAAAGACAATGTGGTTGAGGCTATGCGTGCACAGGTGAAAACAGAACAAAATGAAGAAACAAGGCTACCCCAGTCAAGTGGGGGTGGGCAAGCAACAAAGTGCACAAAGCAGCCAAAGCTGGGGACATTGGGGACAGCAATGATGCAGGCCCCACCAGCAGGGCAGCTGCTACTCAGTCACTATGCAGGAACCTGGGCCTGTAGCTGTTTAAGCTTCTGATTTTTCCAGAGAGGTGGACAATTACAACTAACTTAACCAGGCAGTAGGACCCAGCAATCCCACATCTGGGTATTTATCTCAAAGAACTGAAAACAGGATCTTGAAGAGATGTCTGCACTTCCATGTTCCTTGCAGCACGATTCACAATAGCCAAGAAGTAGAAGCAACCTAAATGTCCATCAACAGATAAATGAATAAAGAAACTGTAGTGGGGGAGGGGGAAGGGCAATATACATAACCTTAACATTTGTACCCCCATAATATACTGAAAAAAATTAATTAAAAAAGAAACTGTAGTCTACCTATGCACACAATGCAATATTCTTCAGCCTTAAAGCCATAGGACATTCTGACACATGCTACAATATGGATGAACCTCGAGAACACGATACTAAATGAAATAAACCAGTCACAAAAAGATAAATATTGTATGATTCCACTTATATGAGATATCTAAAGTAGACAAATTTTTGTTTTTTCTCACAGCTTTGTGTAAATAGTCAAACTCTTGAAAACCATAATAGAATTGTGGTGGCCAGAGGCTGGGGTAGGGGAAGGGGAGTTGTTCAATGAGGATAGTTTCAGTTCTGCAAAATGAAAATGTTCTAGGTGGGCACAGTGGCTCACGCCTGTAATCCTAGCACTCTGGGAGGCCGAGGCAGGCAGAGTGCTAGATATCAGGAGTTTGAAACCAGCCTGAGCAAGAGCGAGACCCTATCTCTACTATAAATAGAAAGAAATTAATTGGCCAACTAATATATATAGAAAAAAAAAATTAGCCAGGCATGGTGGCTCATGCCTGTAGTCCCAGCTACTTGGGAGACTGAGGCAGGAGGATTGCTTGAGCCCAGGAGTTTGAGGTTGCTGTGAGCTAGGCTGATGCCACGGCACTCACTCTAGCCTGGGAAACAAAGTGAGACTCTGTCTCAAAAAAAAAGAAAATGAAAATGTTCTAGACATCTGTTGTACAACAATGTGCATATAATTAACACTACTGTACACTTCAAAAAGGTTAAGATAACTAAAAAGCAATGTGAGGGCATATGGGGGGAAAAAAGATTAAGATGGTAAATTTTATGTTTCTCACCACCACCACCAACAAATTTATCCAGGCAGGGTAAAACAAAACATCTATAGACAGCCCTCAGGGGAACCTCTGGATTTTACCCTGAGCAGGAGGGACTGAGCAAAGAAGTGATGTGACAGAAGGCACACTCCTGCCACAGGGGGAGCAGGCTAGCGGGGAGGGTGGCCTGGACCCTGATAGAAGCAGCTGGACCTAAGGGCCTGGTAGGCAGGTGCGGAGTATTGAACGGCAGCTGGAGAAGGAATGCGTTTGGGTAAAGGATTAAGACTCCATGTGAACATGACAAGCTGGAAAGGCTGCGAGACACTCAAGCACCTTGGCAGTTGGATAAGGAGAGCTGAGCTTGGAGAAGTCAGGCTACAGAGGTAGCTTTGGGAGTTGTCACCTTCAGTTTGCAGTCTGGGTCTATCAGGCCTCATGAGCTGTTAGCCAAGTATCTCCCTGAAACACCAGCCCCAGGGTGAAACAGGCTTCAGGACTTCTAATTGAGCTGCCCAGGGGCGCCTCCCAGCCAGGCCCTCAGTAACTAACTCTGGCCCCAAGGCACCCTTCCCACCACCGCCAAGCAGAAGACATTGGGTGGTCGCCGGCCGCAGCGCCCTCTGGCGGCACGAGGGGAAACGGCGCCCGGGTGGGTACGCACCGAGGTCCGGCCCGTGAAGAGGAGCACCGGTTCACTGGGGTCCCCAAGGCTCAACGCAAACGTGCAAAGCGCATAGGCTGACTTGTCCTTGTGGCCGGCCAGGAGCTGGTGGAGACCTGCGGGTGGGTGCAGGGAGCGCTCAGTGCACCTGTGCTACCCAGCTCCCACTCCCACTCCCCAGAAGCTCACCAAAGGTGGGGACAGGGGAAATTAGGTTACAACTTAGGGTGGGGAGGAGCTTCACACTGGCTCCTGTGAGGTAGCCAAGCTGAAGGCAGAGTCTAGGCTTGAAATTGAAGGCTCTGGGCATCCTTGCTTCCCTCTGGCACAGGCTGACACACGGCTTTGGACTTTGGTAAATTAGAAAAGTAGCCAGTGCAATGTGGCCCTTGTTTGAGACTCCCAATTCAACACTAACAAACTGTAGAAGGCATTTTTGCTACAATCAAGGAAACCCAAAAAATAGACTGTATAATATTAAGAAACGATTGTATTTTAGCTAGTTCATGGTTTTTTAAACTTTTCATCGTTTAGAAATACAGGCTGAATAACTTACAGATGATGTGATACCTGGGATTTGCTTTAAAAATACTGGACTAAGGAAAAATTAGGGTGGTTTTATAGATGTCACAAAATAGGCTTAGTGTTGATAATCCTAGAGACTGGTTGATGGGGATATAAGATTCATTATTCCACTATTTTTTTAATTGATAAATAATACATGTATATATTTATGGCAATTATTCTACTATTCTGTTCTATTGTACATGTTTGAAATGCTCCACAAAATTTTTTTTTTTTTAAGAGACAGAGAGTCTCACTATGACACTGCTGTAGTGCAGTGGCATAATAATAGCTCACTACAGACTCAAATTCCTAGGCTCAAATGATCCTCCTGCTTCAGCCTCCCAAGTAGCTGGGACTACAGGTTTGTGTCACCATGCCTGGCTAATTTTTCTATTTTTCTGTAGAGACGGGGTCTTGCTTATTGCCCAGGCTGGTCTGGAACTCCTAGCCTCAAGCAATCCTCCTGCCTCAGCCTCCCATAGTGCTGGGATTATAGGCATGAGCCACAGTGCCAGGCCTATAAAATGTTTTTTTTTTATTTTGGCATATTATGGGGGTACAAATGCTTAGGTTATGTGTGTTGCCTGCCCCCCCCCCAATCCCTCTGCCTATAAAATGTTTTTAGAAGCACTTTAAAAGGGAACATTTTGGCCTACAACTGTGTGTGACAGGGTATGCATTGCTGGGGCCCAGAAAGGGCAACCCCTGAACCCCCAGGGCAGGCCCTAGCTGAGGGAAGTATACACAGGCAGTCACTAGGGAGGGCCAAGTCCCTCTTGAGACCCAGAATTAACTATAGCCTGTTTGTCCCTCAACCTCACAACTCACACTATGCCTCCCCCATTCAGTCCTCCCCATCTCAAATGCTCTCTGGAGTATAGACTGAGTTGCAGGTTATAGATTTGGAAACTGAGGTTCCATGGTGGGGGTAGAATCTGGGACTCCATCACTAGTTGGGGCCCCTTCCCTAGACCACCCCCAGGCTCTCATTCTCAACAGATCAAACAGAAGAAACAAGGATATAATACCTTCAGGCTTTAGCTTCTCCAGAAACCACTTTCTGCAAGAGAAATAAAGGGGAGTTAGACACTAGGAGCAGAAGAATCTTCTTACCAACCTTCTTACCTGGGATATGCCCCAAGCGAAGCCAAGGAGAAACGAAAGAGAATGTCTCAAATAAAACCGAAGAGAAGTCACCCAACAGGAAAAGGCAAATAGAGACAAACAGGCAATGCACAGAAGAATCAATAAACAAATGAAGACCTCGCTGGTAATTAGGAAAATGCAAATTAAAACTGCACGTGATAACATTTCACATTGCTCAAATTGCAAAATAGTAAAAAGTCATAATACTCAGTGCTGGTGAGGATGTGGAATACATACAATAAGTGTATATGGATGTTACTGCCCTGGCAAACACATTGGCCACCCAAAAGATAAAGATCTACATACCCCAAACCCATCAAAAGCACTTATGCTTCCAACCCCATGTAGGGTCTTCAAATTGGGGTGTTTGTACCATAGAGATACACAAAGACCTTCGAAGGGGGTCCAGGGCACTGAACAGTTTTTTTTTGACCCTGACATGATTCAGGAATACTGGACAGTTTTAAGTAAATCAATTTTCAGATCTCAACTTGCTTATTTTCTCTTTCCTGAAAGTGATCTGCCCACAAATCTCCTTCTCAAATGGGTGGGTCGCCTTTCCCATCTCCATTTACACAATCTCATTCTCACACTTTACAAAAGAAAGGCATGCCTCTCCACTCTCCCTAATCTTTCCTCAGGACAATCTGAAATATCGGTGTTGATGCCAAGACCTGACCTGCCATATCAGGTAACCAATCATTTTGCAGTTCTGGTGGTTTTGTGCCTGGGGTCCTGCAAGGTGGGGAGAGGGGGCACTTACATGTAGGGGCCAGGGAGCCCTCCGAGGGCGTTGAAGCACAGACAGGTATCCTCCACCAGTACAGGCCCCTTTACCTGCAGCACAAGGACATGCAGCCCTGAGACCCGTTACCAGCTGCAGGCTCCGTCCCCACCCTAAACTCCCAGGTCACCCAGCCAGGCTCACAGCTAACACAGATCTGCAGCAGTAGATAGAGGTTCATATCAAGAGCAGCTAATCTCTTATCTTCATTTTACAGATGGGGACCGAAGCTTTGTCAGAATGTAAAGCTTGCTCCAGGCACAGTAGTGGGAGAGCTGGGATTCACACCCAAGCAAAGTGCTCCTTCTCAGTTCCACAGAGAGGTATGAGTGCAAGGGGGTAGGTGTGTGGGGGGAGAACGTAGTGCAGGAATGTATACATCTAAGAACTGGGGGAGGCAGGGGAGAGAGCCTGCGTATGGTGGTGGTCTGGGGGAGACACCACACAGTCAAGGTTGGGAAAGGAAGGCAGTGTTCTAAAGCCAATATTAACTGCTCCCAGCCTGGATGGATCTAGGCAGGTCTTGGAAGCCACCACAAACTGTGCCTACTCTATTGTCCTCTGCCCATCCCCAGCAGGCACAGGACCCAGGAACCACATGGACAAGAGGAGCAAGTGTGGGACAAGGACAGGGTGAGTACCTGGCGAGCTGCCTCCCGACACTTCTGTATGGAAATCTCATCTGGCTCCCCCTGGTACTCTGGCACTTGTCAAGAAAACAGATACACACAGAGTCAGGTCACAGGGAGACAGAACAATTTGAACCATCTTTTAAAAATGAAACGGAGACATACGGTCAATCTTCTGTGCCACCAAAGTGCATGGAAACTTATCTCCTAGAATCTGAATGACCTGTTCCAAAAGGAAAAAAACATTTATCACCATCTGCTAATAATCCCTCATTACTACATGAGCTGCCATCCACCTTTCTCATCAGTTACTCTCTGGCCAGGCCCCCAAAGCTTACCAAGTCAGGCCCATGAGCCCCACCCCAGTTGTCAGCGTCCTACTCCAACAAGCCAGCCCCCTCCATCTTCCTCCTCCTCTACCCCTCCTATTTCAGAACTCTGCTTGTGTTAACCCCCATCCAGAACACCCTCCTCTCAGTGCTCCCAGAAATCCTATCTATCCTCTAAGGCTAGGAATTCCTTATCAGGAGTCACTCAGAATTCGGGAGGCCTGCAAACTTGGATGGGAAAAAAATATTTCTTTATTTTTACTAACCCCTAACTGAAACATAGCACCTTTTTCGATTACAAATAAAAACAACAAAATAGTATTAGCAGTTCCTGTGACTTTTAAACCTATTAAAATCAAAGATGTTGTTTTATCTCATTATAATTTTTGCAGACATCTCAAAATATCATTTACAATCCTCACTATTTTAAAATTAAGGTAATTATATGCACTGCAAGAATGAATCCTTTAGTACATTAATAAATTATATATAACTAGGTCACAAATATTTGTAATATTTTGAGAACTGCATTCCAATATGGTTGATTTCCTTTATAATTCTATGTATTTTATTTTGTACATTTGAAACTATTTTCCTGAGAAAGGGTCCACAGGCTTTATCAGTCTGCCAATGGCATAGTATGGGATTAAAAGAGTTAAGACGCACTGTTCTAGCCCAAGTTCAAGTCCATCTTCTCAAAAGAGCTTCTCATAGCTACTCCAACCCCTTCCTTAAATGTGAGAAGACAGTGTTCTTAGCCAGAAGTTTGGGGTCTGGTTCCCACCATCCCACACGGGCTCTGTTCAGGGTTGCACTGCCTGTCTGCTTGATTGGTCTCGCCTCAGAATCCAAAACCTTTAATCAGCACAAGGCTCTGGCTCCTGAGAAGGCCACCCTGTTCTGGCACAGAAATGCCATCTGTCCCTATGCTAAGGACACATGAAGTTTCCCTGAGTGACTGCCTCAAACATATGTAGTGAGTGTCATCCTCTGATTCCCCACACATGACCCGGTCTCCTTGGCTATGGCTGACTGAGCAGGGGCTGATGTCTGGCAGTAGCCTGACTGTCCTTTCCACCAGCTGGGGAGAAAGAAGAAAAATCCCAATAAGTCTAGGGATGAGCATCCAGTGAAAACTACAAGGACGGGACAGCCCTTGAGGGAATCCTCAGGTTCTGTGGGACACCATAACATCATATTCCTACAAGAGACACGTGGTGGCTTACACGAGCTCCCTGTGTGTCTGTTACTTGCAGCCAAAGGCGTTCTATCAACCCCCACAGTCCTCTCAGCTAGCCACAAAGTCCCCGTAGCAGAAACTTCCAATCCAACGCCTCCTTTACACCTCGCTAAAGCGAAGTGAAGCAGACTTCCCACATCACCTCCTTTTCACAGATGCAGAAAGAGGCTGGGACATTTCTGGACCGTGGTGGTGCGTGGACTGCTCAGTTTGGAACCCCGCCCCCCCCCCCCCCCCCCCCCCCCCCCCCCCCCCCCCCCCCCCCCCCCCCCCCCCCCCCCCCCCCCCCCCGCTCTTCCTGGCCTCAGCCACCCCCCGGGCCAGCAGCGGGATCTGGATCAGTCCCAGAAAGGTGTCGGGGCCCCGGTATGGGGTCTAGCTCAATAGTGACCTTTGGGACAGGTTTTAAGGGCCCCCGGCCACTACTCTGGCTCCCTTAGCTGCTGACCTCACAAGCCCTGTGCCTTGTCAAGACCATCATCCTTTGGTCAATCCTGGGGCGCCCCAGGCCCTTCCACACAGCCGGGTCCCGCCCCATCCTTCCGAGCCGAGCTCAGGAGTTCTCCCACCACGCCTCCTCCCGCGTGCTTCCCTCCGCCAGGAAGCCCCCTCTTTATCCTATCCTCAGCCGCCTCCCGGCCAGCCCCCCACACCCTCCCGGCACCTCTTCCAGCTTCTTGGCGTTCCCCGTGACAAACACGATCTTCTTCCCGATCAAAGAGGCCGCCATGGTAACCCCGGCTACCCAGCAGAGCCAGCGGGAGCCCTTTAACCTTGAGTCTAGGGACACTTCCGGCTGGTGGCGGAAGAGGGCGCCTTGGCTTCCGGTCTGACGATTCCGAACAGCCGATTGGGATGCTGAGACGCGTCTGCGGCGCGTGGGTTCCCGCAGGTTGTGCGGTCACGTGCATCCAGATTGCTGGGTGCTTCCCAAGACTGGAGGTTTTTAGTGCGAAAGACGTGCCCCTCCCGCCTAGGGACGCTGTTTTCGAGACCAGGAGAGACCGCGCCACCCCTGCTTTCGCCTCGCTCTGCGATGGGGCACTGAGGGAAGCAAACGACGGCTCTGTGCTCTGGGGGGTTTGCGCTCTCCTAGACTGTCTCGGAGATCAGTCTTCGAGGCAAAGACTCCCAAACCTTCATCCTGACCTCGCCTTCAGCCCCCGTTCCTGAGCCCCTCCTTACCTGCCAGCTCGGCTCTGTAATTTGCGTCTCCGACACAGCAAGGAGAAGGAAGTGCCCCAACAGACCCACCTGTGATACAGGCCTTAAAGCTCTGCTGCTGACAACCCCACTGGGCAAATCATCTGTCTGCCTCCTCCAGCGATTCTACACTCTGCCTGCTGCCTGGAACCCTGGGGCAGTAGCTCTTGAATGGCCACCTCTGCCTCTGCACAAGAAAGGGGGTGGGATCTGTGCTTACCCGGTCTTTGTCATTCATAGACTGTTTCTGTTATTGAAGCAGAAACACTAACCATCTACTCATGTAGAGCCCTTGGAGGAGTGGCCATGGGAATTTGGGGGCAGAGAAGGGCCTGGAGGACATCACCTACCCAGAGGAGCCTGAGAATATAAAAGGGCCCACCCTACCTGAGTTTCCTTTCTTGGATCTCAGGCAGCTGGAGCCTCAGCTCTTCAAGGAAATGTTCCCTGTCCTCTCCTTCATCTGCTCTCATAGCACTGGGCTCCCCTAGGAACAGCAATATCCCCACTGCAGATATATATGCGTTTATTTTATTATTCAATTTTTTCCCTCTAGAAATCACAATAGTAAAAACTTCGTCTGTTTTTGTGTACCATCTCATCTTTAAATCCCAGTGCCTGGCATGTAGTAGGTACTTTGTAGTGTAAAATCACAACTGATATCTACAATTCCATAGGTGACTTTCCAAAGCCAAGAAATAGATCATTCAGGATGGGGAGTAGCTTCTCTTCACATCCCAGGCCAGATGAGGCTACCTCTGTTTCTCACACTGTGGCATAAGTAAAAAAAAAAAAGAAATGCAAATTAGAGAAACAACGCTTTTTTTATTTGTTTGTTTGTTTTTGATACAGAGTCTCACTTTGTTGCCCAGGCTAGAGTGAGTGCCATGGCATCAGCCTAGCTCACAGCAACCTCAAACTCCTGGGCTCAAGGGATCCTCCTGCCTCAGCATCCTGAGTAGCTGGGACTACAGGCATGCACCACCATGTCCGGCTAATTTTTTTTTTGTATATATATTTTTAGTTGGGCAATAAATTTCTTTCTATTTTTAGTAGAGATGAGGGGGGTCTCGCTCTTGCTCAGGCTGGTTTCGAACTCCTGACCTTGAGCGATCCACCCACCTCGGCCTCCCAGAGTGCTAGGATTACAGGCGTGAGCCACCCCGCCAGGCTAACACTTCATTTTAGAGAAAAAAATCAAGGCCTCTGACTGAAGTGTGAGGCCTGGGCGGGACCCAAGCAGTGGGCGGAGCCTAAGGTGGGGAAAAGGGAGGGGCTGTAGGTTGGTGGGCGGGGCTTAAGCACTCACTGGCCTCAGGGTGGACGCGGTGGTTCCGCGGGGAGGTCGTCGTCATGGTGGCGCCCGTGGTTTACTTGGTGGCGGCGGCTCTGCTTGTCGGCTTTATCATCTTCCTGACTTGCAGCCGGGGCCGGGCGGCAGCAGGTAGGAAATGCCGCCGTGCCAGGCCCGGTGGGGCCGGGTTCTCCGGCCTTCTGAGCCTTTGTAGGCCGTAGTGCCGCGGCTCATGCGCATGCGCTGGCGTGCCTAGCCGTGCTGCTGAGGATCTGGGTACGCGTCAGGCTGGCCGCGCGCATGCGCGTATGCGCGCGGGACTAGGGACTGCTGGGGCTTTCGCAGTGCTAGAACCCTACCTGGGAACTGCTACACCTTTCTCCTGGCCCCAAGCGCGAGCCTCGCCCCATCCCTCTCCTCACTCCTGGGCCCTCCACACCCCCAGACCCAGAGGGGCCAGGCTCCAGCGGACACACACATTCCTTATCATCTGGGCCGTCTCCCTCCGGGCGCCTTAGGGAGGCCGCGGGGTTTCCCAGCCTTCCCAGACTGGCTCCAGAGCAGGTGCCCGGTCGAGTGTTTTCTGCCTGCCCACGAGGTGGAGGAAGCGTGAGGCGGCTTCAGGAAACTCCCTGAAGCTCTCCCCCTCTTCACGAAGGAGAGCGCCCATGCTGCCTTGGCCTCCCTTCATCTGCTCTGCACCCCATCATGAATCATCGACCAGGGCACAGAACAGATACATCTGTCATCCCCCACCCCCCATTTCTTGTCAGCACATGGGTTTGTGTATGTGTCTCTCCCCTTCCCTGAGCCCACAAGCTACTTCAGAGCACCTGCATGCTCCGAGGGCAGGGAGAGAGAAGCTGAGGCAAGGCAGAAAGCCAGCAAAGCTTCCTAGGTGAGAAGACTCAATCCCTGTGTGAGACCTGTACTCTGGTTGGGTGCCAGATGAAACTATGGCTATGGTGTTAGGCAAGAAATAGACGTAGTCCTGCAGTGGGCATTTGGTGAGACCTGGAGACGGCAGGGTGGGAATCTCCTGAAAAGCCACCTGGAAAGGTGAGGCTTTGTGGAGAGAGATTAGTATCAACACAGGCTGGAGGGAAGGGTCGAGCTTGCTGCGTAGGACCAAGGTGTGGGCCTGGTTGCAAAGGCCTTGTGGTCAGATGGAGAAGTTGAGGCTTTACTGTGGGCAGCAGGAGCCTGGAAGGAGACTGAGCAGAGGAGGGTGAGGCTTCACAGTTGCTGCTCCCCCTGCCATCTGGCGCTGGGCTGCCTGGCAGCATCATCGTTCCTCTCTTCCCTACAGCTGGCCGAGAGCCACTACACAATGAGGAGGAGCCAGTAGCAGCAGGCCGGGTGGCCCAGCCTTGGCCCCTGGAGGCTGAAGAGCAGAGAGCTGGAGGCAGGCCCCGGCGCCGGAGGGACCTAGGCAGCCGCCTACAGGCCCAGCGTCGAGCCCAGCGAATGGCCTGGGCAGAAGTGGATGAGAACGAGGACGAAGCTGTCATCCCAGGTGAGAGGGGGGCCCAGCCTGGGTAGGAATGAGGACTGGAATGGAAGGGAGGATAAGGGAGTTTGCAAAGCTAAGTAGGAGATTAGAGTGTGAAGCCCCAGTGTGGGAGAGACATCTGGGAGCCACAGGTGGAGCAGAGGGAGACTTGGGACCTGGCCTTTGGTCCTGGGGGCCAATGGTTCTGAGTCCTGATCCCTATTCCACTAGGTCAACCCCCTCTTTCTTCATTTTGGCTCTCAGTGTCCAACTAAGAGGGCAGAAGTCTTCAGATTGATTCAGAATGTTCTGAGACTATCCCTTATATTTCAGTATCCTTTCTTGGTATGGGCATACTCATTCCCTGAGGACCTCACCCTAGGGGCAGAGTGCCTGGCCAAGAGCTTCTGCAGTTCCTGGGGTGAGGTCACCTGTAACCCCAGAAGAATGGTTTGGGGATAGAGATATTCTGCTGACACAGAGGCCTCCATATCCCTGGTGCTGGGAGACCAACAGAGAGCCCTCAGGATTCTGGGAAAGAATGTCTTTTCTGGCCGGGTGAGGTGGTTCACGCCTGTAATCCTAGCACTCTGGGAGGCTGAGGCGGGCAGATTGCTCAAGGTCAGGAGTTCAAAACCGGCCTGAGCAAGAGCGAGACCCCATCTCTACTATAAATAAAAAGAAATTAGCCGGGCGCGGTGGCTCACGCCTGTAATCCTAGCACTTTGGGAGGCTGAGGCGGGCGGATCGCTCAAGGTCAGGAGTTCGAAACCAGCCTGAGCGAGACCCCGTCTCTACCAAAAATAGAAAGAAATTAATTGACCAACTAAAATATATATACAAAAAAAATTAGCCGGGCATGGTGGCGCATGCCTGTAGTCCCAGCTACTAGGGAGGCTGAGGCAGTAGGATCGCTGAGCCCAGGAGTTTGAGGTTGCTGTGAGCTAGGCTGATGCCACGGCACTCACTCTAGCCTGGGCAACAAAGCGAGACTCTGTCTCAAAAAAAAACACAATGTCTTCAGTATTTGATGGCTGACTTGAGCCCAAGGACAAAGCATCTGAGCCTTTCCCCAAAACTGGGGCTTTTGCCTCATACCCTTGGGGATTAGCCCTTTGGCTCAAAAAGAGGTCCTCTGTTGTGCCATCCTTCCTGGCTCAAACTTGGGTTCAGACACCAATTTTTGCTCAGACATCAGTGAGTCTGTAACTTTCAGCTGGCCCTGGGACAGTCCTCCAGTTGGAGCTGTCTTTTTGGCCTGGCTTTGGTGGGACAAAGGGATAATCCTGGCCAAAGGCTAAGCCCAGATCCCTCAGCAGCTCCTGACTATAGCAAGGAGGATTTCAGATTTGAGGCTAGGGTAAATTTTCCCAGGGAGCTGTCTTTCCCTGGAGGTTTGGCACAGAGACAGAAACCAGAGAACTCTGCAAGCCCAGACAGTCCTGCCTGTGATCATCAGACACTTGGATATTAGAACCTGGCACCTCCCTCTTTACAGCTCTGCAGTATCTAAAGTTCTCTTCTGTTCCCTTACCCCATGTCCCCTCACCCCTCTCCCACCCTCAACACACAAATGCACACACATGTGTATCCATGATAGATGCATATGGAGGACAGAGCTGGGCTAGTTACATTTGCAGGTGGGTGGAAGGGGATTCCCTTGCGAGGAGAGGGATGAGGGCAGATCCGTTGTCACCGTCCTCTCTGGCCAGGACCTGTACTGCCTTTCTTCCACCATACCCAGCCCAGGAGGAAGAAGGCATCGAGAAGCCAGTGGAAACTCACCTGTCAGGGAAAATTGGAGCCAAGAAACTACGGAAGCTGGAGGAGAAACAAGCTCGAAAAGCTCAGCGAGAGGCAAGCAGGAGGGATGGGGTGCAGCTCTGGGAAGTGAAAAAGAGTCTTGCTTTCCCTGCTTGTTAAGGCAGACTCTCCTCAAGCAGCAAACGCCTGAGCCTTGCCCTCTGGACTGGTGTTTGCTGCTTGCCTGGCTGTCACCTGCAGCCTTGGCCTGTGCCCTGGCCCAGGCATTGTCTTCCCTGGCCTGTCTGGGAGGCGGGCACACTCTAGCTGGGTGTGGGGAATATGCCCCATTGAGTCCTCTCTCCAGGCAGAGGAGGCTGAACGTGAGGAGCGGAAACGCCTGGAGTCTCAGCGTGAGGCAGAGTGGAAGAAGGAGGAGGAGCGGCTTCGCCTGGAGGAGGAGCAGAAGGTGAGGCCGACCCCTGACCCTGACCTCTAACCCCTGACCAGGCAGCCTTGCTTCCCATGCAGCTCCCCAATACTTCCAACCTCAAAGGTGTGCCACGGACCAGGCACAAGGCAGGCCCTGGTTTATTTGGTCCCTGGGCTCTAGACATAGCCTGTGAAAGCTGCTGCTGAGAAGTAGAGCCTGAGGTGGAGATTTCTGTGCATAGGACCATCGAGTGTGCCTGCAGCATGTGAAGGACACTGATGTGGTTGGGGTGGCTGGGCAGAGTGAGCCAGGAGAGGAGGAAGGGAGAGCAGAGATGTGAGGGGTTTCTGGTCTTGAAGGCGTTGAGTCTGTTAAAGATCATTGTAAGAGGTGGTAGATCCGTAGAGGGCCTGGCATAGAGGAGGTGCTCAGATAATAGGGGTCATTTCAGTACAGGTGTTTAACAAATGTTTATTTGCCAGATGCTTCCTTTGGTCTGAGAACTGGCTTCCCAAGAAAGGGAATAGCAGAAAGATGTGGGGTGTGTAGGGTAAGAGCAAGGCCTACCCCAGCTGGGGGGACCTATGGTCTCTGACTGTCCTGTTGTTCCAGGACCCTAGATGGTGGGAAACCTGTCTGTGGGTGCTGTAGCAGGTGGGCCAGAGCACAGTGGCAGGGAGGCATTCGCAGAGAGGATTTTTTACTTTTCTGAATATCTATCTTAATGCATCTTAAATATCCTGGCTCTTCTTCCCTATACTGAGTTTCCCCTATCCTTATCATCTTTCCCTACTGTGGTACATTTCTCACAACTAATATTGACATGTTTTCATTAACTAAACTCTACCTGTTGTTCAGATTTTATTAGCTTTTCCGCAGTATCCATTATCCGTTTTCTTTTCCTGGGTCCCATTCAGAATACCATGTTACATTTAGTTGTCATGTCTTCTAAGGCTTCTCTGGGTCATGACAGTTTTTCATACTTTCTTGTTTTTGATGATCTTGATAGTTTTTTTTTGTTGTTGTTGTTTTTTTTTTGAGACAGAGTCTCACTTTCTTGCCCAGGCTAGAGTGAATGCCGTGGCGTCAGCCTGGCTCACAGCAACCTCAATCTCCTGGGCTCAGCGATCCTACTGCCTCAGCCTCCCTAGTAGCTGGGACTACAGGCATGCGCCACCATGCCCGGCTAATTTTTTTTGTATATATATTTTTAGTTAGTCAATTAATTTCTTTCTATATTTTGGTAGAGACGGGGTCTTGCTCAGGCTGGTTTTGAACTCCTGACCTCGAGCAATCCGCCCGCCTTGGCCTCCCAGAGTGCTAGGATTACAGGCGTGAGCCACTGCGCCCGGCCTTGATAGTTTTTTTTTTTTTTTTTTTTGAGACAGAGTCTTGCTCTGTTGCCTGGACTAGAGGGCTGTGGTGTCAGCCTAGCTCACAGCACCCTCAAATTCCTGGGCTCAAGAGATCCTCCTGCCTCAGCCTCCCGAGTAGCTGGGACTACAGGCATGCGCCACCATGCCTGGCTAATTTTTCTATTTTTTGTAGAGCTGGGGTCTTGCTCTTGCTCAGGCTGGTCTTGAACTCCTGGCCTCAAGCAGTTCTCCTGCCTCTGCCTCCCAGAGCTTCAGGTTTTTAAAAAGATTTTTCTCAGTACTCTGAAAAATGGGTTGAGTCGAGAGAGGCTAGAGGCTATTGTACTAGTTGGTGGTGGTCATGATGGAGCAACATGGATAGACCAAGGAGTTTTCCAGAAGTTAGAGAAAGAAGTGGTCAGTGGAACCTCATTTCTGACCAGGGCCACTGGCCGGATGGCTACATGATTTACTGAGCCAGGGACCCAGTAGGAGGACCAGACATGGGGGGAGTAGATCACAGGGTTTGTCTGGTGCCTGTGAGATGGCCCAGTAAGTGTGTCATGTGGGCAGTGTGTGTTTGGGAGGAGAGATTTGGGTAGAGATAGAACTGTGGCAGTCACTGGCAAGGAAAACATTGATGCTGTGGGCATGGGCGAGGTGGCCTAGAGAGAGTGGAGGAGAGAGAAGGGACAGGGCGAATGACAGAGGCAGGAAGAATGGCCCAGGAGCAGGAAGAAATCCAGGAGTAGGTGGCCCTGGAGCCAAGGCAGGAGAAAAGAATGGTCAGCTGTGTCCCAGCGCCACCGAGAGGACAGGGATGGATATGAGGCCTGAAGGTTGTCCTTTGGATTTGGTGAGTGGAGGG